TGTAAAAGATTGACATCTGGTGGCTTTTTGGCAGTATTGCATTCCATTGCTTCAGTCCCAAAGTGAGCCCAGTAAGTAGTTGTATTTTTCTCAGGGTTATCCAGCTAGAGCTAAGCAGAGGCAGATTTGATAAGCATCCATTCTTAGACAGTGTAAGCCACATTACTATTACAAAATAGTATCCTAACTTCTGTGACACCTTAAATTCAACTTTAGATGCTGTTTCCTCTACAGAATATTAGCAAACTGAATTCAAAAATACATCAAGAGGATCATACACCATGATCAAGTAGGATTTATTCCAGGGATGCAAGGGTGGTACAATATTAGAAAATCCATCAACATCATCCACATCAACAGAAAGAACAAAAACCACATGATCATCTCCATAGATGCTGAAAAAGCATTTCATAAAATTAACATCCATTTATGACAAAAAATTTCAACAAAATGGGTATAGAGGGCAAGTACCTCAACATAAGAAAGGCCATATAAAGGCCATATATGTCTAAATGGCATGGAAAGTATTTTGTGTAAAAGACTACCATCTTATGGCTTATTGGAAGTATTGCATGTGTCCATTTCAGTCCTAAAGTGAGCCCTGTAAGTAGTTGTATTTTTCTTAGGATCACCGTGCTAGAGCGAGGCAAAAGCAGAATTTGAAAAGGGTCCATTTTAGACAGTGTGAGCGACATTATCATTATAAAATAGCCTCTTAACTTCAGTGGGGTCTTATATTCAATTTCAGATACTGTTTTATGTCTGAAATAGCAATGGAAAAATTTTGTGTAAAAGATTGCCATCTAGTGGCTTCTTGCGAGTATTGCATGCGACCCCTTATGCCCCAAAGTAAGCCCAGTAGTTGTATTTTGCCCAGGCCAGCCGGGCTAGAACTAGGCAGAACCAGAATTTGAAACACTTCAAGTTACCTAAAAATATATATTTTTGGTATATTTTCATATTACTATTAGATTATCAGAGGGTGATAACATAGTTTCTTTTCATCATAACGAAGTTCCCGTAATACGGTAAGGCAGAGCCTAGTACCCTTATTTTAGAAGTTGAGGGCTCCTGTTTTATTACTGTGATCATTATTGTTCCCTGGGCCCTCATTATAATATAAACAGCATGTCTGCAACAACCTGCTCCAGAAAGAAAGGTCAGTGTGGCTTACGGTTAATGGAATGAGCTCTGCTAAATTCCAAGTACAAATTTTATAAGATAATATATTGCTTGGACTAGAAGGGACTCAGACTGGAGCTCCTCCTCCCAACCTTCTCTAGAGGGAAGCAGGCTGGGATCCCACCCACTAACTTGCAAACCTTGGCCATTTCTTCCTCCTGAGGATCACTGAGAGGTTGAAAGCAAGAGCTCAGAAGGCAAAGCAAAGAGCTAGGAAGAAGCCAGGGAGCAGAAGTGGGTCCTAATCAAGGAAGTGGACACACGGGCCTGCTTGGATCTCATGTACTCATGGACCATGGCTGCTCTGCCCCCACTCCCCTCTCCGTTGGGACGTGTCAGCTGGGGTCAGCGGGTGTTTTGTCACGCAGTAGATACCTGGGACACATATATGCATGCCACATCCTAGCTAAGTGACCTTGAATATATTAAGATTTCTGCCTTCCAATTTTTCATCACTAAAATTATGTATCTTCCTAGCATGGGTGTTTAAAAAAATGAAACAAAATAAAGTAATATGTATAAAGCAGCTAGTATAGGTTTGGATCACAATGTTCTCCTTTTCCTTCCGTCATGTTCCCCTTTACATATTAATACACTAGCAGGTATGTGTTTACTTCAGATACCATCAGTTTCCCTGAGATACAGAGGTGCACATATATGTGTACTGGTGTATGCATATCTATCTAAAATCTGTACAATATGGATTTCAACTGCCTGGGTCCATTTATATGCAGGTTTTTTCCCCAGTAAATATATTGGAAAAAGTTTTAGAGATTTGAGACAATTTGAAAAAACATTTTCTTTTCTCTAGCTTACTTCATTATAAGAATACAGTATATAAGACACATGACATACAAAATTTGTGTTAATTGTGTTCTCCAGTTTCTGGTCAACAGCAGACTATTAATAGTTATATTTGGGGGGGTCAAAAATTATACACAGATTTTCAACTTCGCAGTAGTTAGCACCCCCAACATCGGTATTGTTCAAGGGTCAAATGTATATGCACTCATACACACACACACACACACACACATGCGCATGTGTGTGTGTGTGTATATATAAATAATGTTTCAGGGTTTAAAATCTTATTTTAGAATTTATAGACACATCACTTTAAAACTGATGATTTGTAAAACATGGTGCGGATCCTAGTATTCTTAGTGAAGAAATGGATGTTTGTGATCCGTAGTGGTTTCTTATCTTTTGTTGTAAATTAAAAGTCAGATTCAAAATAAACTGGATTTTTCACTAATAAATAGGCAAGGTTTACCTCTGTAAATGCAGGATACTGAGTGGGAGGAATAGCGGGCCTCTGTGCACCTGCCTGTTCAGACTTAGAAGGTCTCAGCTCTCAAAGGAGAATGTCCGGCATGCAGAGTGGTGCACTGCAAAGTGGCCCAGCATCCACTCTATTCATTGCAATGATCAAACATTTTGTAGTGGGGAAAGTCATGCCATGTATGTGTCCACCCTCTGACACCTTGCTTTGAATATGTTTTACTTCAGCTAACCCACTCCTGTTTCTTTCAGTTTATGGAAATGGTGGCTTGGTAATTTTGCCCTCTCGGAACACGGAGTCCAGGGACTCTGGTCCTGGTTCTGTCGTATGATTCCAAGACTGAAACAAGCGCATGTTAAATACGCCCAAACGCAGGTGTGCTCTCCGCTCTGTAGGAAGGTGCTGGCCTGTCCGAGATGCAGCATCCGCGCACATGGAGAGGGGGGCCTGAAAGGAAACCAATCTTTGGTGCATAATTAGAACGGGAGCCCCAGTAAATCAGATTAGCACCTTGCATCTATGAGGCGTGATGAGACTTCCCTTTTTTTTAAAACGTCACTCTCCCTGCCCCCTCCCCGCCAGCAGGGATAGCGAGGGGGGCCTGCCGCTCCTGACAGGCCCTCCTGCCCAGGCGGGCGGGGAAGGCTGAGAAGGAGCTGAGGGCCCCGGGGTGGGGAGGCTCACTGATGCCGACGCGCGGGGGCCCGGAGGGCGCACTCCGGGGAGAGCGGGGAGCCTGCGGCGGGGCGCGCGGGCCCGGCTCCGGCGGAGGGGAAGGCGCACCCCCGGCCCGCAGCGTCTCCGACCGCGTCGCTCGGCCGCGGCGGCGCTGGGGCGCAGGGCTGGGAGGGGAGCCCCGGCCCCGGGGGCGCGCGGGGGGTCGGCGCCAGGCCGCGCCCGGCCCTCGAGGCGCGGGGCCCGGCCCGGGGAACGCGCGCGCAGGCCTGGGGCTGGCTGTCGTTGGGTAAGTCCGCACCCGGGAGGAGGGGGCATGGGCTCAGGGCCGTGTCACGTCTCCGTGCCGAGCGCGTGATTTCTCCTCCTGCACCGCCCCGTCCGTTGTCCGTTTCCCTGCCGCCATCGGCCTTCCCGGGCCAACTCGATCTCTTGCTCCGAGAAGCGTCTGTGGCGTCCGAGACTTTTCCGCGCCAATCCCGAGGGTGCTGCGAGGCAGGGGCAGCCTCGGGGCCGGGGGGGTCCGTGCACCCAGAAACCGTCCTGCATTTCAGCCCATGCGGAGTGCTTACTTCTGACAGCCCTGTTAAGCAGAAATACAAAATTTGAAAGCTGCAGTCACTGGTTTAATGACTGAATGTCTACAGGGCAAAGTGGCACAGGTTTCTGGGCTATGGAGAGGCACCTTTTAAAAAGTGGAAGCAGATAATTGAGGCATTTTACTTGACACCTGGAGTGGAGTGACAGTGGAAACTGGGACTCAGCCTTAACTTTGATGCACCAACGAATTAGTGCAAAACAGTTAAGTGGCTGCGCTAAACCCGACTCTAAAACCTAGATTCCCTGCCCACATGAAAAGCTTTAAATGTAAGACTAGCAGTGTTTTATTATCTCTAAAATTTAAGAAGTGAAGATGGGAACTAAGTGTAAAGTTGTTACATGTCTATGTATTATGTAATAAAAGCTTAATCGACATTCCACTACTTTCAAGTTTTAAGATATTTATAGGACACATCTGGAAGCTGTGTGCATTTACTTAGACTGTATGGATTAGACAGGGGTTAACAGTTTATGGGAACTGAAAATGTTCAATGTTATGCAGGAAATAACGCTATGATGCATGGCTAGAAGACAGGGAAAACAAATACTCAAAACATTCAGAAAAGGGGGGGGGGCAAGAGATTCTGCTTTTAGTTCACCATGTTCACAAGTCAGGGTCCCTGTGGAGAGGTGCAGGTCAGATGGCCCCGCTCCACCCCTTTCTTCTTCCAGGCCTCTGGCCTTCACTGAGTTACAGGCTCAAACTCCTATTCAGAATTCTTCTGAACTCTGTGGGTCAAAAGTATGTCACTCGAAGTTCAAGAAGTTTCACTGAACTAGAGAGACTTTGCAGGAGATGGGGTGGGAAGGGCAGAGGAGAAGGGCGCTGGAGTAGCAGTGTGGGAGTAGACCGCGTTTGAAGGTGCCCATTTTGGGGCACCCCTCCTCCCCTGGCCTCAGCCCCTGCGGAGTGCGTGGGAGTGCTGGCCTTCAAAGGCTGTGGTGTGAGGTGAAGAGGGAGTTAGTTCTTCCCATTTGGGTAAATAATTTCCTTCTTAGCTTGAAAAGGCTCCCTCTTCCTCGCTCAGAAAAAGGATGAATTTTCTGGAGGAAGAAATTATTGCTCATGGAGACAAAATTAACAAACCGGCATGCGTCTGATGAGTGAATTTAGTTTTCAAGTTGCACAAAAGGCAGAGGAGGAGCCAGAAGCAAGAACCGTTCGATTGTGCAAGTCCATTTGGGGGGATATCAGCTACTCAAAGAGCAGGGAATTTTCTTATAAAGGATAAAACATTTTCCAGAAATGTCCTGAACCTAAAGAATATTTTTCGTGCCTGGTCACAGTGTCATCCTTTTTGTATTAACCATGAACATGCAGAGTAACTACGGTTCAAAAACAAGTTCTTTGAGTCACTAGTGTGATCTCTTTGCCCACTGGCTTTTTGAACAAACAGAGCATCTCTATGTGATAGGCATTATTTTAGGTGCTACGGAAACAAAAAAATTAAGTGTCAGGATCATCACAATGTAAGGAGCAGCCTGATTTATCCAGCACCTAATATGCAGATGCTTTAAAATCTCACAACTGTACAAAAAAGCTGACAGTATTATCACGGTGTTGCAGATGTGTGTATCAGGTCTGGGTTTGGAGAAGTAACTTGCTTATTAGCCCACTGCCTGTCCCTGGCAGGGCCGGATTCAAATCCACACTTTGAATCCACATCTGCTATAAGATCTTCCATAGTTTGCCATCCTGCGGTTAAAAAATTGTTTCTCAATAAGAAGCAAATTAATTCATATTCTGGTATATATTTCTGAATATTCAAAGCAAAGTTTTGATGCAACTTCTAACTGATTGCTTCTTCTGTTGTATTTTTGTCTAAAGAGTAATTGGTTCACATGAAAATGATAAATAATTGATGGAACAGAGCTAAAGGTAAAGCAGTTTATAAACTCAGCATAAAAGTTTGTCCTGCATGATTTTCTCTGACCCTTTCTTGAACACCTTTATCATATAATTCCATTCTTTTCTTGTACAATATGTATGGAAGGCAAAGGTTCTCGCTAACCTCTGTTTATAGTAATTGTTTTTAAAATTCCCTTGGTTATAAGAACACTAGAGCCACATAACTTTCATTAATTTATCTCTTACATGAATACTTAAAAACTCCATTTACATTCAGAAATATGACTTCTGAAAATTAGGTACCATTTTAATGGAAAGCAAAAATGGAACTTTTTTTTAATGAATGTTAGACTATTGAAAGATGACTCTTTTCCCTGAATCACTACCGTATTTTAAGTTAATATGAAATATAAGTTACTTATATGGAGAAATGTGATTTCTATAGAAGTTGGTTACTGTGTAATGTTACGAAGATATTTTGACTAGAGGGAAGTCCGTGTTTTAAGAGGTTCGCTGGAAGGGCATTTTAATTATTAACACTGAGCTACTCCAGACAGGTTTAATACCTGACTTAAAATTCAGACATCTTTTCTTAGTTATCCATTAATGTCAACGTTTTAAAACGCTACACGTCACAGCCATCCCAGACAACAATACCAAACTAAAGTGTGTTATTTTTTGTGTGTTTCAGTCATTTATGTGTTTAGTGATTCAAAAGAATTTGATATATATTCAGAATTAATATGGAATTATCAAAATTATCGGTATTTTCCTGGAGGGCTGCTTGGCTTTTGCAAGCACAGGACGCTGGGTCAAGGGACGTGTGTAACCTGAACTCCAGTGTCCGTCTCACCTGGCCAGTCTTATGTCTTGGAGAGAGGCTGAGCCAGCCCAGAGTTTCAGGCAACTTTTACCAGTCAGGCTCAATCACAAAAAGCTGCTTTTTTCCAGTTAACATAAATGTGCATGTAGGTTAATGGCAACCTTGATTCTAATAAAACTAAAAATGGTAAGGTCTTGAGCCTTAGTTTCTTAAAGATGTGTGTGTGTGTGTGTGTGTGTGTGTGTCCATGTGTGCATGCACACGTGTGTGTTTACGGGGATATGGCAGGAGGAGAGGGGCAACTTTATACAAAAGGAAATTTTAAAAGTCTTATGAATAAAATTATATTATTACTTTTAAGTTACTTCTCATATTTTATTTTTCAGAAGAGGACTGTCAGAAGGATCTGGAAAGCACAGTTTTGCTGTGAAAAGCAAAGATCTTTTACCTACGCATTTTACAAGAAATGTGCAGAAAGCCATTGATAAATATGCCTGGTAAGAATGAATCTGTTAAGTGCCTCTGATTGCAAAACTGAAACATGACCCCAGCAAATGTGGGAAATATGATCAGTGATGGGCCACGAATTTCTAAACGTGAAAAAGTGGTTTAATTTTTAGCCTAGTGAAATGTTACACTGCATACATGTTTTTAAATCAGTGTACTATGAAATGAAGAAATACATGTAAAGAAAAAGAAGAAGTCCACCCAGAGATAGTAGTTTTTATGATGTAACTGGTATAACCTTTTCCCAGGAAAGCTATTGGTGTCCCTCGTTTTGTTTCTGCAGTGAATCCGTGTCGTCATTTACATCAAGTGGAAGCCCCACGCCCACAGAAGCCCACAGCTCTCGGTCTGGGTCTGGGGTGCAGAGTTCTACCACTGGCCTATCTACTGAGAGGAGCTCTGTTTGGTCCTGGAGAGATGATGTATGTGTCGGAATATTCTGGATAATCCCATGATTACTATTTATCACGAAGAACCGCTTTCTTACGTTTTGAACATCTTAACAAGCATCACCTATTGTACACATACATGTACACACATATAAACACATTTCCATGGCACAAGTAAAAACTTAAAACTATAGAAAATATATGGAAAAATAAAAATCACTCAAAATCTCAACCCAGATCTTAGCTGCCGGTAGTGTCAGGTTTCACCTCCCTCCCCACCCCTCACTGTGTTGTATGTGATTTCTCCTATGCTCTCTGGGGCTGGAAATTCAGGGCAGGCTCTAACAATTAGCAACTCGAATAAGAGAAAAATTTTGGTCAAGTAAAAGGTAAAAAAAAATCACCATAATCAGGGATTTTCCCTAATACTCTAAGTTGGACATTTTCCTGGCTTCTTCTGACCCTAGTGGAAGCTGTGACCTGTGACCTGTTTTTGTGCTCTTTGTGGGTGGGATCCGTAGCTGGGTGAACTTCCCTGCCACAGCTCTAGCTTTTGCTGGGCACTCTGTTCCTGAGAATGGGGTTGGGGGGCACAACCTTTGAGATGCCCCGGGGGCTGTGGAAGAGCCCCCACTGTGGCATTTGGGGTGCTCTTTCCTTGTTTGTGTTCTGGTTCTCTTTGCTCTCTTTAAAAGCAGTTCTCCACTCCTCAAAGCGGTGGGAGGGAGAGGGGCACGCAGGGGACTGGGGGTGGGGGGGATTCTGCCTCTCAGGCACTGGGCTCAATCACCCATGATGACAGCGCCGACCCCACGCCCACCCCGCCACTCCTCACACTTTCCTCAGAAGTTGCCCTGGGCAAGAAGGCGGCTATGAACCACTGCCCCAGGCTGCCCACATTCCAGGATGGTTAGTACCCACTTTCATGGAATTATCCAGAGTCTATGACTTCCATTTATAGAATTCAAATTACTCCAGACCCTACAACTGTTGTTCACTTAAAATTGTTTATCTTCTTTTTGATTCCTAAAATGTGCAACAGCAACGAAATGCACTGGAGAGAAAACGGAGTAGGCCCTCTTCCCTGCCCTGGGCACCTAGTCCCCACCTGCGAGGCAAATATGATTATTAGTGTTCTCCCTATTTGCATTTTAAAAGACATAATTCAACTGCCCTGCCATCTGAGAATGTAGGTTATCAATTTGGGGGAAGAAGTAACACAAAAAAGACTGGGTAGCCTTCTGTGAAAATCAGCCTGAATGACCATTTTGGATCAGGCATGAGTACCAGCTAGGCAGGCACTCCGCCACTCGGAGCTGTGGGTCAGATTTCAGGTTCACGTCCCCCTGGAAGAAAATATAAGCCGGGCTCTTGCCCCGGAGGTCGCCTCGCGGTTCTGAGGGCTGTTACTGCCGGGAGCAGATGGGAAGGCTGACGCGTGTCTCACCCGCAGCTCCGTCCAAGGAAAATGAATACACTGGCTTCACCTAACAGCCACACTGCTTAGATAACAGGATTGGTTTTTTGTTTTTTGGTTTTCCCTTCTTCTTTGATTAAGAGAAGGTGAATGGCTCTTTCTGAAAAAGTAATTTTCCTCTTCAGCAGTATTGTCATCAGAAAAAAACCAAACCAGCTTGTATTTTGCAGATATGTTTAGGTGTGTCATGCACAACTACAGGGGGGATATATGTCTGTGTGTGTATAGATATATAGGTGTGTGTCTAAGTAGATTAATGTCTGTGTCAATATGTGCACCTCTGCCTATATCTGTAGCTATGTAAAATGCCAAATAAATCTCATAATTCACAAGGTAGACATTATCTCTACTTAACAGTTAGAGAAACAGTCTCAGAATGGGATGCAATTTATTAGAAGAGTAAAAACTGGAGCATCGTTATGTCTGACTGCAAAGTCCACATTCTTTTTATCATCTGACATTCGTGCCTACAAATTATGTACCTTAAATGTGTCAGCATTGATTATAAAGCCCATGTTTTTACAACTTTTAGTCTAATAACTGTGCATTTCTGTTTTAGGAGTTTGACAGAGCCAATGCACGGAAAGTTCAGCAATTATTCTGGGAAGTAGAGGAAATATTATTTGAAGGGAAAGTAAGCCATCAGACTCAGAATCTACTGGCTGAATGCAGCGAGTGGACGAGAAGATCCCTCCATCTGAGGTAGGGGGCTGGTTCATAGGAATTCTCTGCAGTGGGTTTTGGACCTGCCCAGTCCCAACCTGCTTAACACAATTCTTTTTTTTTTGACTGAAAGCAATCACCCAGTCAAAATATGTATCCAGACCACATGCCCTTTACTGAGAAATCATGTCCTCTGAAATGGTGTCTCAGGAAATACTGAGACATTCCTATACTCAAGTACATTTTAATCTGTGAGAAAAAAATCTATTTCATCCCCAGAGAGGCATTACATGCAAAGCGAATGCAGAAGTGGTGGACATTACCTTTTACCCTCCCATCTACCAGCATGTGAGCAGCACGTGTCTGTCCTGTGCACCAAGAACAGTGCTCAGGGTGGGCCGGGGAGGCACTGAGTATTTATTTGCAGAATGATTGGAGAGATGATCTAACCATGTCCCTCAGATCCCTTCTGTAGGAAAGATCATTTATCTTTAAACATCAAAGATGGAGAATATAAATTGGGTATGAAGGGGAGGGTTTCCTCCTTCAAACACTCAGCCAAACCTACTTGGGAGAAAAATCCATTCCAGTTCTCTGAAGTTCCTCCTTATTATATCTAGAACAAGTTGAAATACTCATACACATGTCAATGATTTCCTTGTGACCTCACTAGGTAACTTTTAAAAAAATCTTGACTAAGTAATTCTCCATAAGCCCTCATCTTAGAGAGTATAATCTGCCCACTGGCTACTAATGTGATGCTACCTTTCCTAGGCATGGTGCACCTACCAAAAGCCAGGGGCTCAGACCTGCTCCTGTCCCTGTTGTCTTCCACAGTTAAGATAAAAATGAAGGAGGGGAAGGTGGAAAAGGTTGCAAGGAACATAAGCCAAGTATGTATATGTGTATGGTTTTACTCATTACGTGGATACTAGTTAGCATTGCTAGAGGGCTTCTGTGTACCCAGCTTTAGCCTGGTTAGCCAGTTCTGACATACGGTCATCTCAAAGCCACTCACCAGTCCTACAAGATGACTATTATTATTGTGTCTTGCCGACAAGGAGCAAACAGATGAGGTCAGTGACTCTGAGCACGTTGCCTCGAATCTCTCCACCAGTGAAAACAGACTGTCCTGCCCCTGCAAAGGCTGTGCTTTCTCTGTGACGCCGCTGGGCTTCTCATGTACCCACCTGTGCCTGCTCACTTCACACACATGCCTTCAATGTATGACTGGATCCAGCTTTTAAAATGGTGAAACTTCTTTCCGCTTCCCACTCAAATATTTTAATAACCTCCTTTTTTGTTTGTTTTCCTGCTTTTTTTTTGTTTTTTTTTTGTTTTTTTTTACCTTGCAGAGTATTAGGAAAACAGCTCATCCGGCCAGCTGATGAAGGGTTCCAACATTTCCAGGGCAGTGAGCCCAGTTCGACAGTCCACAAACCCTTCTTTGGTGCCTGTGAACATAACAGCAACATTAGAGAGTACGTTCCAATATGTTACTTTTGCAAAGTATTTTTAACCTCACCTTAATTATACTTTTTTATGTCTGTCTCAGCCATGAACCTTGGCCCCCTCCCATGTTGGAGGTTTAGATTCCAATGAAGGGCAAGTACAGAGCATTTCTTTCACCAGATGCTTCTCATTCTAAATTAATGATGATGATGATGATGAATGTGTGCACTGCAGGTATCAAGGGAGCTTTTTTAAACTCTTTGTTTTGAAGACTCTGTGAACAGTCGTGGATGCAAAATCAAAACTTGCCGCAAGGGGGAGCGACTCAGGAGTGAAGCTCTGGCCTCTTCTCTTTTGCTCACTCACAGAATCCCCTCCATGCCAGTCTCACATATTAGGACGGTGTCATGACGTCCTTCCATTACAGCAAAGAGGATATAAACTCAGGATCATTTAGACTTTTAAGAAGCCCCTTAACATTTCTAATGATGCCTGTGTTAAGTGTTGCTTTTAAGGATATAACGTAATATGCAATGATTTTTTTCTTTGGGATTCTATACTTCATGGATAATTTAAAGACCCGCCCTGATCATGCAGACCTTGTATCCTCCGCATTCCAGACGCTCTCACAGACAATCTGCTTTTGCCCACAGGTTGTGCGTCTCTGGCTCGCAGATACACCCGGCGGTTCCCTCAGCCCCTGCCCGGCTAGGCCCTGACTCCACAGGAGTAGCCGATGGAACGGCACTGTCGCCCCTGGAAGAAGAGGTTTATGATGTGGATGGGAAGATGGAAGAATATTTTGCTTTTGACAGAGAAGAAGAGTAAATAGAATTTTATTTGACTGTGACTTAACAGTGTAATTAGCGTGCCTGATTGGGCACTTATCTTGATTACATCTCACTTAGAGTTCTGTGTATTTTTTACTTACCCCAAGGGTTTTCCATTCTCACAGGTGTAGTGTGCCGCCAAAGCTTTTAGATTCCTAGCAGGGTGTGTTATGCTAGGGCTGGGCTTCCCATAATATGGCAAGAATCGTGTTCCACATACTGGTAAAAGTGGACAAGGCTATTACAGCCTTCGTGCCCTGGGGGCTCCAGCAGCCTTGACTACGTATTTGGTCAGTAAATGAAAGTTACAAATACTGTATAATAAACATTTGCTTTGGTATTGAATATGGGTACATAAAAAAAATAACAATGTGCTGTTTAAAAGAGAATGTTCTATTTATATATGCATACTATACATATATGCATGCATGTTTGAAGGATGGGTTGATAGATAGCATTATTTTAACTTTAGCCATTGATACTTTTAGTAATTTCAGTGGGTTTTGTCCTTAGTGGCGATGAATGTCTTGAACAAAAACCAGCTCCGCATCGCAGGGCTCGGCGTAAACACGGACTTCCTCCCATTTCCCCACATGACTGCATCAAAGATGCCGTGGCTGCAGAGGTGTTTGATCACGTCTGGACAAATGTGGTAGAAATATTGCGAAAGTTGATTAGAAAAAACTGGGAAGTTACTCTCTCAGGTACTTACTTGTAGAATTTGGCCTAAATGAAGAGAAAAAAAGGCCCTCATTTCTTGGTTTTGTGCCCCACCCAGCTGGCCACAGCTAGGACGTGGTTGGGGTGAGAGGGGAGGGGGGGTTTCTCCTTTTTTTCACAAGGATCTGTGCTCACTTCAGAAAGGACATTATTGTTTTTTCAGTCTTAAAAATAATATATATATATATGCACTCTGAGGAAAAAACAGAACTACACAAGAATGCAGAAGTCACATTTTTTTACTGTGGCAATAAAAAAATTTACCTAACTAACCTCCAGCAAGAGGATATTAGCGTGTAACGTTTCATGACATTATTTGTAATTATAATGTAAACATAGCTATTTTCTCACTTCATTTAACTTTAGGAAATATTCTCTAAACTAATTGAAATTGAAAAGTGACAGATCATAGAAATGTCAGTGTTGGACATTAATGGCTAGGATTATATAATCAATTTGTGCAGTAGGGTACTAATTAATTTAAATATTAGTATTTTTCCAACCAACAGATTAGTTGGGATATTATAAAATACCAAGAATCTTAATTACTCCAGTGTTTAAACCCTATCTTTTCACCTACTAGTAAAATGATAAACATTTCATTACCTGCAGGTGGAAAGTGTCCCACCAGCCAATTGCTCTGTGGGGTCTCCGCTCTCTGCAGCAAGGCTCAGGGGCCATGGCCGACTCGTGATGACGCAAGAACACGCTCTCTTTGAACAGTGAATTCTAAGTACATGTATTAGATGTTTCTTAATAACATTGATTTCTCTGTTGACATAGAAGGAAAAAAACAGAAAGAAAAGCTGAAGGCAGCTGAGAACAAATCTCCACATGTCCTTGTGCCCCGTATTAATCCAGATGTGCCGAGTGTCCCTCCATCCAGAAGTTCTGAGACTCGAAGCATATCTCTGGCTTCTCATCTTAACCCACCTCAGGTAGACGCCTTTCCCCTGGTCTCTGTCTCTCCTCATCTGCTTCTCCGGCCTCACTTCATCAGACTGCCATTCTATTCAATCCTGCTATCAAGATATTTGGGTCTGTCAGTAAGATTAAAATTTACAAATAATGATTTCATGGAGTTCAAAAGAATCATCATATTCTTTAATAGAGTAGGGATACTCAGGCTTGAGACTGTCCACTTACTTTCAGTTGCAGAGCTGTTGCCACATTTTTAAAGACACAAAATGCCATCCCCTAATATTTTAGCCAGTCTGAAGGCTGCCAGCATTCTTCTTTGCTCCTACATGGAAAGGAGGCAGTCAATGAATATTTGTTGGGTTCATTCAGCATTTATTGAGCTTGTACTAAGTGCACTGTATCAGGTGTTTTGAGGAGCTAGACAGATGAACAAAGCATAGTGTCTGACCTAGTAAAACAGTAAGTGTAACACAAGTCAGATGCCATGTGTTCACTGTGTGAACAATGTGCAGAAAAGTGGTCATAGAGAGAATAAAGGAGAGAATGACTTAGGCTGCTTGAAGTCTGAGGCTCGGTCTTTTAGCTTGGAGGTAAAATTTGAGCAGAAACATGAGTAAATGAGTAGGGTGTTCATAGGTTGAAGTCTGTGAACTTCACACACATATAGGGGGTCATTTCAGGCTATCAGAGGCATGGTGGGATGAAAGAGGGGCACATTTGGGGAACAGTGCTGGGACTGAGGGTTAGGGGAGGGTACGGGGAACAGCAGAGGCACAGATGTTTAAGACCAGGGCATTTGGAATGAAAAGACCTTCTAGGGGAAGTATCTCGGTCATGCTGTTCAACTTTTCTAAACTTTTGTTTCTCATCTACAGAATGATAATAATGTATTGTCTAAGGGATTGTTATGAAGATAAAATCATGTAAATTTGTGAGAGATCTTAACACAGGACCTAGTGGATACTAGGCACTCAATAAGTTTTTCTTGAATTGTGTCTTTATCCAAAGATCTAATGGAAGATGAGGCTGGAAAGCACAAGCTTGTTCGTGGTTGTGAAGGGGTTTGGCTTTTACGTTTTTGCATAGTTCATCTTGTGTGGGGGAGCAGAGATAAAGGATAAGGCAGGATTCAGGGTCTTGATGTACACATGATATAGCTATAGAAGTTAAGTCATGCCAAACTATACTATACGCACACACACATGCACACACATGAGGAGGCTATATAGTAGACAGTAGAGCGGACGAGATTGAGCTTTGCATATAGACCACAAGTTTGGGGCCTGACATCACAATTTAGTAGCACTGTGATCATGAATCTGTCCCTCTCTCTCGAAACCTCAGTTTCATTGTCTATGGGATCTATGAGGTAGGAAGCTCTGAGAATTAAAAAGATCTTCTTTGTTTTTGCTGTTCAAAAGAAATTGGAATTGCTATCCACTTACTATATTTTCTGGTCTCTTAAACTGCTCTGGCAGGTCCAAAGTATTTCCTACTTTGTATATTAAAACATATATCGTGAAATCACACAAAAGTGAACAGTTGATGGCAACACAGAAAAGAACCTTGAAGTCTCAGTCAATACAAGTAATCTTAAGAAATAAGGACATATTAAAATCTAAGGAGTTTTTTTTAGATACTTTGTTGTTTTTATAGCTTTTATTTTTTTATGGCTGTTTTATTGTAACATTTGGATAAATGTTAAAATGAACTGACAACAAAGCTAAATGTAAAAATAAAATAAAATATGAATAGAGGCTTTGGGAATAGTCAAAGCATTCTAGTGGAAATTGCACTTAATACAAGTCTTAATTTATTCCTCTAGCCTTTCTTCTTATATAGATTCAACATAGGGAAAATGTGATGTGATTGCTACATCTGTTCTCAAACTAGAATAGAATTCTAGTTTCCTGTCTGCCTGAATCTAAATATTACTTTAAATCCTAGTTGGAGACATTATGGGGCCAAACAGTGAATTAATCATTAAGCCTTGACTTTATGCTTTCACTAATATTATCTAATTTAGTCCTCACAGTAACTCTCTGAAGGAGGTATCTTTATCCGTAACTTAAAGATTAGGAAATTAAAACTCCAAAGTAATTTCCAAGACCACCAAGCTGGAAGCAGTAAGAACTGGAATTCAATTTAAGCTTTCGGGATCTGGTACCATGCTGCCCCGGGCTAGCAGGGGCCGGCTGGCAGCGGAGACCCACTGGTACCAGCCCGTGAGAATTAAGTGATTCTTTGTTCATTCTTGTCCCACGTCTTTATAAAATATAGTCTCTTTATTAAATTTTCCTCATGAGCCACTCTGACCATGCCAGGTGTTTCCTGATGACTCCTGATGGGCATCGGTAGTTGGCGTGGCACTGGATACATTTTAATTTTTATTGTTTCTCCTTGTCTCAGATTCATCGCTTCTCCAACAACTTTTATAGTGATTTGAATGGTGTGATGACAATTCAAGCAAAGCCACTCCAGCAGAGACCGACCTATTTTGCAGACAGAACACAGTACGTATAAGCAGTCATTACCCAGCCTCTTCCCTGTGCTGCACACACTTGAGCACTGCAGACGACAGAGAACATGAAGTCATGGGAAGCCCATGTGATCCCAAGCACAGCCGGGAGGGTGCGGTCAGTGTGTAAGAACGAAAACGCTGCTCTAATATCAACCCCGAGACATTCCGATTAGATCAGGGCAGAGAAGAAGAGGGAGTGCGGCTGTGAGGCTGACCTTCTGGGCTATAGAGTGTGGCGTCCAACAGTGGGAAATGCAGATCTTTTCTTCCTTGTGGATGTTTCTCCATGGAAACTGAAGTTGAATTGGAAATGACAGTCTGTCCATTTATTCAACAAATACTTAGGAGGACCCTCTACATGCCAGGCACTGTTCTAGACATACGTCCCTTGTTCTCCCTGTGCTCACATCGTAGTAATTACCTGGACTTCCCTCCCCCAGGAATGAGCACGAGGACAAAGCCCTGGGGGTCGGGGCTGGTGCTCTCTGCCTGGCCCGGCACCGGCCAGGACGCATCTCGGACACCCGCGGACTTCAGACTTCCACAAAGAAAACGCCAGCACACAGAAGGCTGCCTTCCCTTACTGCAGAGCCACAGAGAATGAAAACCCCCTGTGTGTACAGTGATGAAGTCCTTCGGGGATCAAAACTGTGAGTCGTTTCTTTCATGGTAGGCAGAGGGGACAGAGACGCTGGTCTATGAGGGCTGAGGGGTTGTTCTGGACAACGCCTTCTCTGGTGGATTCTGTGCACACTTTTCTGTGTAGTTCATTAATTTGTGCCACTAGCATGCTTAGCTGGATGCTAGAATATAAAAGTCGGGCACAGGCAGCTAGGAGAACTGAAACTCCAGTACTGAGGTGGTCTTGAATGTGCTTTGTGACCTCATCTGTAAAACTAATAATTACTTAATACTCCTAAATTACATAACTAATACCTCCTTATTGTGGGGTTTAAATAAATTTGTGTACATAAAATGCCATAAAGCCAAAAGGGATATATACCTTTTAGTTTTTATTTATTTCTGAGGATGTGTTTGGCTCTATGGAAGGAGTTTCAGAAAAGCGTTTGACCTTAGGGATGGGCTCCAAAGCATTGCCTTCCTAGGAGCTTCTTGGTAAGGTCTGTCCCTGTCTGTCTTTGCACCCGGGTGCTCAGTCATGTGTTGTGTTTACAGGCAAGCCAGCCTCGACCACGTGTGCTCCCCACCACTTCAGGCCTCACGGAGCAGGTTACCCCCAATAGGCTCAGAGATTGGTGAACCAAGTGTGGCAGTTCCCGGACCTCGCTCTCTTTCTGTAAGACAGATGTCATTATATTTAAGTGCACCATTTAGATAGTCTGTTGGAAAACAAACAAAATATAATTTTGGCACTTCCAAATGAACTCAGTAACATAAAATGTCTCCACAATCTGTTTCCTGAAAGTAAATGGTTTGTAAGAATTTATAGGAGGTGGGAGGGTTAGTTCACTGTTTTGTGAAAAATGAAAACATGGCTTGAACTAAATCACAAAGTCAAGGTGTCAAGGCTGATGGTCAGGATGGTATAATTAGGTCCGTCAGAAGACAGGTAGATCTATATTTGAATCCTGCCACACAAACTCTCTCTGTGATTTGGTACAAATTAATCTCCCTGAGCCTTAATTTTCTCATTTGTAAAAGAGCAATAATGATTCCTACCTCAAAGAAAGGTCATAAGGATTAAATGAAGTTGTAGGTGTTAAATAATACCTAACATAAATTGAGAGCTCAGTAAAATACAGCAGCCATTTTTATCTGCTCTCATTTTCACAGCTCATCTGTGCCATGTTTGTCGCGAGGCAGAGGCATTATCTTCTTCACCCGAGCTCAGCTCAGCCATGCGATGGCAGAAGATCTGGGGGATCTTGCTCGTATGCCTGACCAGATTTCCCCCAGACTTGCAGTGACTTGTCAGTTGTGTCTACTTTGTAACACACAGAGAGACCCCAGTTGTGGGAACATAAAGGCCCAGGAGAGAAAAACCGGCACAGGCAATGTTTTCTCTTGCATTTCTGGAGCCTCCCTGAGCACAGCGATAGAACCTGCTTGCAGAAGGCAAGAGTTTCAGAGCGTTCATGTTTAACATTTGAATATTGAGATCATAAAAGATGGCAAACAGCATATAAAAAAAGTCTGGTCATTCCCAAATGAGGAATTACATTCCTCTCACAATTTAACATTAAGAATTTTAGGTGGTTGAGGTTTTGAATCCATATTTACCTATTAGGACACTCCACTTCATCAGGTTAAATAATACAATTACATAATTATATTTTCATATTTGTGCTTGGTAGGTCCTATGCTCAGCAAATGCCTAAATAAAAGCTTTCAAATGGGCAAATGATTGAATGGATAAATGAGGGAATTGTTGGAGCATATATAGATTTTCTTTTGCCTTTTTAAGGACTGCATTGATTTTAAATAAAAACCTATTATCCTTCATTTAGTACCGAGGAAGGCATCCACAAAACCGAGTGTTAAGTGCAATTCCTGACAGTTTAGAACGGTCCCCTCTTCGAGAAAGATCTCTGACCACAGAGCGGTTTTCAAGACCCAGCACAACACATACATTTCAGGTAGGTTGTCTCTACTCTAACTTTGATTTTTAAAAACATTTGAAACAATACATCTCATCCCTCATTTTATTTTTCTCCTACCAGTCAGATACTCCTCAAAAAGGCTCCTTGACCCTGATGGAGTTTGCTGGTCACACGTGGACAGGCCAAAGTTTTCTGACAGGTCAGGGTTCTTCAAATATATATATATATATATAAATGACGTGATGTGTGAGGTTGCAAGTTTTGGAAGGAGAATTTGAAGAGTATGTACCTTGATTGGACTATTTTGGACACGTAAGAGGAAATACCAGGGTGTGTGGTCTATGTCTAGACCCCAGAAATTGCCATAAAGAGCAAAATACACATAAGCACTTACTGCTCAAACACTCTTCATGTGGGGCCTCACTCTTACATAAGAGAAAAATGCTGTCTTGTGAGTCTTAGGAGAAATTGATGTCTATCTCTGCTATATATAGTTTCATGATTTTCTTCTAAATGAAAACTTAATCTTAGTTCCTGTGAAGATCCACTTGTAAAAATGCCTCATAAAATTGATACAAATACTCTATTTTATGATGCAGAGTTTTGCAGATAAGTGCTTATTCTCAGCCGGGAATGCTACTTGAAGGATGAAGTTTCTCATCTGAATTTAGGCCAGCAATGTGTTAATTTCTCAAAACTGTTTACCAACATTTTTGTTCATGGGGGCCACAGCGCACTGTTATGAGGTGTGCCAGTCTGGAATCAAGTGCCCGGTGTCCACGGGGCTTTCCCGCCTGCCAGCATCCTAAGAGGGCCTCAGCCCCTCTGGGACTCAGTCCTTCCTTTATACCAAGCTGGGGGGATAAAAAAATTATTGGAAAAAGTGTGTGGAAAGGACCTAGCTAGGTGTCAGACATACATTATTTGCCCCAAGTTATTAATCGTTTGCATCATAGATAATCTGAAATGTAAAGGATATTTTCTGTTTTAAGGAAATACTTAATAATTTAAAAGTAAACCTAGTACAGCTTAAGCCCTGGCACAAGAGTTTTTTCGCTGTTTACATAAGCCCTGCGATAGTTTTGTAGCGTAGGGATGGCAAAGGTTTTTTAGCCCCTTACGGTTTTTCTCTAGGTTGCTTTGACTTCTTGCTGCTTTTTTCGTGTAATTTCCCAGCAGCATTAGCTGTCATGGTCAGTGACAATAGTTCCTTATCTAAAAGGCTGCCATGCTATATTATTAGGTATTGCTTTGAACATAATTGTAGATGGTCTGGGGTAAAGTATGCATCCAAATTTATTTATTAATAAATGACAACGTACCAAGTGCTCACTCTGTGCTAAGTTCCATGCTAAAGGCTGGCATTCACACACCAAGGACATTTGGGTCTGAACTTCAAGGAACATTCAGTCTAGTGGGAGAGATGGGGCCACTAGAGTAGTGAGCAGGGCCACCTCACTGTAAATGCAGGTGAGTGACGGGGTAGAGGGACTTCCTGGAGGAGGCGTAAGCCACACGAATCAGGGTGAACATCATGTAGTATGTGCGAGAGAAAGGAGGGGAGGCTGATAAATGTGACTTTGTTCGTGGCCAGTGGACAGTGGTGCTGGAAGAGAGAACTCGGCAATTTTGATGAATTCTGTTTTGGTGATGGGATGGCAGCGTGCTAACTGGAGATGGCTAATAGTTTGCTAGTCACACAGGAGCAGAGGCCAGGAGAGGGAACTGGGCTCTGAATTTATTTTAAATCTGCACTCTTAACTAACCTTTGCTTCCAGGTCAAAAATCCCCTGGAGCTATTAACTTATCATCAACATTTGTTCTGTGGCAAGAAAAAAAGGAGAAGCTGAGGGGGTGTCCCCAACAGTGTAAGGGCTGCTTACGGGCTTTAGGGATCTGCTTCTGAGTAGCAGGTTCTAGCAAACCCATCAGCTCTGGGAAGGCACAGGGCAGCAGCCAGGCTTGGTGGAAGAGGAAGAGGACCTTCCTTTCCCCTGTCCCCCAAACTGGCAATTTTTGCATATGACTATTTCCTAGTTTGTGTAAAGTGACATTAAAATAACATGTTTTTTTTTTTTTAATATCATCTGCACGGAATGTACAAAATAATCTTTTTGAGAGCTGGAATTTTTTTAACGTTTTAATGAGAACCACTCTTTGCTTTGGGGTTTCAGGTTCACAGTATCCACTGAAATCTTTTCAGAAGACAACTCTGAGTTCAAGAAAGAGATTCCAAGTGGCATCCTGATGTTACTACACCAGAACCAGAGTGCTTGCTGGAGTCTTCCAAGCCTCTACACCATTCATCACTTGACACATGGAAGAACAAGTATTATACAGTGTATCTGCTTGTCTGACTGACTGAGGTGTTAGACTGAGAGAAATGCAAACAAAGAACTTAATTTTGACCACTTTGCATTGCACAGTGCATCCAAGTCTAACTCACCAACCTCCTATACTGGAAGCATTCCAGTAAAGGTTCTTCACGGTTTGCTCAGAAGAATCTAGTATGTGTTGCTGATCCATCATTTTATCAAGTATACACAAACACACACATAACTACTTACTACATGAGAGCGTATTATCTAGGAATATGCCATTTTGTAACTTGTGTCTTGACATATTCTTTGTCTCATTGAATTATTAATTCCATCAAAATCTTAGGTTATTAATAGACCTTAGTCTGTTCTTTAAAAAATAGCAAAGTCATCTTGGGTACATATGCCAGTTTGGCTAAGATTCAGATTGTTCTAGTCATCATGCTGACTTCCTTATGCCTTCCGGAAATAGTACTAAAGTCACAAATCTCAAGGAACATCAGTGGCTAAGTGTCCCAAGCCAATTCTGTTTTATGAGTTTTCACGTTCAAATTCAGGCAGTTCATTTAAAAGCATCCCAAACTGACTGATTTTTAAAGCTGAGTAGAAACATAATTAAAATGTATCACCCATGGTTTCATCGTTGTCGTTTTCAATGGAAGTGTTCGTCCCTGGGAGGGAAGGCTTTGGGGCGGGGCCTCCTTAGCTCCCCACAGTGCAGCCTTTGCTCAGATGTCGCCCCTGCAGTAGAGCCTTCCCAGGCCCCTCCGTCTAAGGCAGCAGCTCTCTCCACTCTCTGTCCTCTTGCCCGGCTTCGTGTCCCTTCAGAGCACACACATCCCTATCTGACCTTAATATAGACAAGGGAACATATTAGAGGAGAAAGGATCAACGTGAGGCAATGCTCCTGGGCCATTTTCTTGGTTTCTTCTTCCGGCAAGTTATTTTCCTTTATTGTGATTTCAGTCCTTAGACTCATTTTGATATTCTCAGGTCTCACATCACCATTTCTTCTTTTCTATCAGATAATTATATTTATCAGTCTAACTTTCATTAATCCAAAACGAAGCTTTATCTATATCTATCTATCATCATGTAAATGTACAATAAATTGTTTGCAGACACATTTCTCATTGAATGAAGAGAGGATCTTTGCCAATTTACAGATGTGTGGAAACTAAAAAGTGTGTTGGCGCTGGAATTAGTGTTGCCCTTTCTTACTGAGCGACATCACAGAATGGCCCTAGAGCCTTGCCTTCTGCGGGTCACTCGTCTCCCTTCCCTACACCGTTTTCCATAGCAATGGAACACGTTGGTGTGTGAGGATGGTCACTGTAGCCATACCTCTTTCGGACAGCCACAGCTCCATAACTCCAGGTAATATTCCAAATGCTTAGTTACCTACACAAAGCAGAATTTTGAGAATTTTCTAAACTATCCCTAAACATTAGCTGTACAGATTTCCAAGAGGAACATATCAGTCTTAATTTAGCAGTTCTCAAACACAAGCAGTCCCTAGACATGGGAGCGGTCTGGAGACCCGTGCCCAAGGCTCTCCGGCTGACGCTCTCTGGTCCTTAATTCCCGCTCACTGTGCCCTTCCCAGCCACCCTGGTCTCTCAGAACCATTCCGGCTATTCCACGTCAACTTCCAGGAACTGTTCAACACCTTCCTGAATCAGCCTAGGCTTCTTAGAAGGGAAAATGACTGATACACATCTGAAACTAACATTACGGTAAAGTATCCAAAATAAATTATTTCTTTATGAAGAACCATTGAAGAGATTTTACGGTAGCCTTATTTGGCTTCAGAATTTTGCAGACAAAAATCTATTATTTATAACTGATTTAAAAAAACGTGAAAAATAGAACCAAGTACAGTGATTTTGATTGTCTCCTAAACATTTTTAATCAGAAGATAATTCTACCTCAGAGATAAGGAATTGGCTGTGCCACTGATTTTAAGAAGACCTGCTCATAGCATATATTTTTATACCTGTATTAAAGATAATATTTTATTTAGAGGTTAAATAAAATTTAGAGGTTAGTAAATAATGCTTTTATCAAGGATGGTGCTTTTCAAACTAAATAGGTAAACACTAGAGCTGTGTTCTCATAATAATCTACTTTGATAAATGAGTCTTAGAATTTCTCTGTTAAAAATTGGAAAAGGCAAATTGACTTTTAAACTCTTGAGATCAAGTTTAAAATTAAGGATAGTGACTACATTAATTAAAGAGTGTTAATTTATCCAAAACCAAACAGGGAATGCAGAAATTAAAAATAATATAAGAACATATAGAATTCCACAGAAAACTGTAGATTTTACAAATTCAGAAGTATCTATACTGATGTTATTCTGAACTAGAATAGAGTTTCTATACTAATTAAGAAGTACATTTTATATCATGAAACATTTGGGTATTACATTTGTATTGTCATCATTTTCTTATAACTACAGATCATTGTTCAGGATCTTTAATTCTTTAATTTTTAATAAAATATAAAAGTGCTGAATTTTCAAAATTTCATTACATTCTTTAAATCTTTACATCCCCAATTTTTATGTACTGTGTGTAACTATCGACTCTGCAGTTTCTAACACACAGGTTATTCATTTATTTCTAACTACATAGCCAACTTTTCCCAGTGAATTAAATGTATGTAACTATGTATGTTTGTGAGGGTTTTACCTCATTTATGAATACTCCAATTAAATCTTTTTTTTTTTCAGAAGATGAGATTCCCATGTGGCAGTCAACATGGATTTATTATTTCATTAAATATTTATCAAGCACCTTCTTTATGTAAGACTCTGTTCTAAGCATTGGACTGAACAAGACAGCATCTGTTCTAATAGAACTTAGATTCTAGAGGAGGAGGTTAGGCTGTCAACAAACTGATAGAAACATAAGGTCGGAGAGCGGTAAGTGTTATGAAGACACAAAATAGGGTAAGGTGACAGAGGATGGACAGAGATGCAACTCTGGATAGAATAATCAGGGAAGCCTTTAGTGCAGGGGTAGTATTTACACACAGACTCAAAGAAGATGAGAAAAGAAGCCATAAAGATATGAAAAAAAAATTCTAGACCAAGGGAAAAATACACAGGCCTAAAACAGGTACATACCTGGTGGTTTGCATAACAGCAAAGAGGCCAGCAGGACATGGGATAGAATAAGCAAGGAGATGAATGATACGAAATGGCTTTAAACACGAATTTGGAGATATTCTACTACTAGGTATGAAAGAACAGTTCATACCACACTGACCCACTGAGAACAACCGTAAAAGCTATAAATGAACAAGGATCAGCTGTTTGGGGGAAGAGACGAAGAAAATCAGCCACAAACTAGAGAAAGCCAATTCGGAGATAGGGAAACACATTAGGGTGAACCCCTTATTTGATACTGTTTCTTCTTCCCATCAGAGTATTTCAGGTTATTATCATGGGCATAGAGGCCAAAAAAAAAAAAAAGAAAGTGGTGTTCTAGAGTTGGGCAAGTTCTAGGCTGCCAAAGAGAAGGGCCTTGGGAAAGGCCCCTGTCTTGGAACTGACAACCTTGGAGGACTAAACTCTAAAAGAGCACACTAAAAATAGATGCTCAAAACACTTTAAGTAGAACCTAGAATCGGTGTAACCCCTGCTTAGATGAAGGTGGAAAATTGAAGATAACCTACAGATACACTTCAGAATCAAATGTGATTTTAGCAAGCTCATTCAATACAAAGTCAACACAAAAGCTCACTTGCATTTCTATATACTGACAGATAATAAAACATAAAAATACTATGTATAATAGCCTCAACATAAAATACATGGGAATCAATTTAATAAAGTGGTTACATTAGGGTTCTCCATAGACACAGAATTAATAGGAGACATACATACATCTCAGCTGAAACAATCATTTGCCATAAAATGAATAATAAACCGTGGTATAGTCAAACAATGGAATAATGTACAGCTATGAAAAATAAGGAGAAATACTTCACACAGCAATATAGATTCATCTCTCAAGAATAATGTTGAGTTTAAGAAGATGGCTACAAAGGGGCACATGCAGTATGATTTTGTATTCTATGATCTGGGTGGTCGTTACAGAGAAATGTTTGTTCAAAAAACTGTACATTTAAGCAAGAAGCAATGTGCGCTACCTGATGTTGGTGACTGTGATTCAAAATTCATGACAAAAGTTTCCTGCTTACCCTGAGGATGTGACGAGTGTAAATACATAGATTATATAGCTCTATATCCAGGCAGAATTTATTTTTTATAATCTAAGTATCTTTTTCATACTGGGAATCATTCCAAGAATCAGAAAATGTAAGGAAATCTAAGTGTTAAGTTACATCTTAGTTTCTGTAGTTTATAACTTATTCTGGACGATGATTATAACTTTCAGATGCTTTCATTTCAAGCAAGGGAAGTAGTCAACACTTGGAAAGAGATTCATCCTTTAACGCAGAACGCATACTGAGGAGAGAAAGGAAGGAAGGACACCTGTGTCTACTGCTGGATTCATTGCTTGAACTAGGGGGACAAGGCACTCCTCACCCATCCCCTTTGCAAAAAGGACCAAGGGTAGACAAGGGCAGCAGAGTCAAGACTGGGTACCTCTGCCTGGAGAAAAGGGGGTGACTGGCAGTCAGGGAACACAGCCCTCGGGCAGAATCGGGGCATCCTGCTCCCTCATCTTCCCTTTCCCTTCCAAAGGCTCGGTGGTTTGTCTGTCTGCTCTTTTCAGAATGCGCCGTAGCTGGGCCTATCAAATGCCATCTCCCAGCATTTCCTGCCTCCATGCTTCACAGACTTCGCCCTTTGTCCTCTCCCACCCACTCCTCTCTTGTAGTTCTCTTAGGTGCTGGCCAGCATCTGGGGAAAGCTGATAACCAGTGCTCCAAAGGTTGTTGCCCGTTCGGCCCTCGAGATCAAAGTAGGGCATTGTTCTGGATGGCCAGGATACACCTGGCGAGATGCCAGCCTCCCGTCAGGCGTCCGGGCTTTGGGAGTGGAACGCGCGCAAGAAAGCGCGAGGACCGATACCCAGCCAGAAAAAATAAGCTCCAGCGGCTGACTTCCAACCAGATGTCCATTTCCACTTTAAACACTGCGCGCGCGCCCGCACGCTTCCCCCGCACACTCCAACCGGCGCGAGGCCCTAGCACACGAAGCCCTGCCGCCCTGACCCGCGGCCTCTCCCCGGGGAAGCTGCCTTAGATTGCACCCCTCTTCTCCTCCCCAACCCATTGGCGCTCTCATTTACTTTCTGACGGCCTGAAGCTGGGTTCTGGTCCGTGGTTTCCTGCTCGGGGAGGGGGTGCACCCCGCGGGCCTCTGACGTAGGCCGAGGCCAGGGCGTTCCCCGAGGGGGGCAGCGCAGTCTCCGCCCTGCGCCCCCTTCCGGCCCCGGGGAGGGAAGGGAGGAGGCGGAGGAGGGAGCGGCGCCGAGCGGCCCGGCGCGCCGCCTGCAGGCCCGGCGCCCGCCCCGCGGAACCCCGCCCCGGAGCCGCGCCCCCGAGCCCCTTGGGGTCCGCGCGCAGCTTCTGCAGCGGCCGCAGGCGCGGGTCCGGTCGGAGCGCTGCACCGACGCGGCGATGGCGCTCTGGCTGCTGCACGTCGTGCAGAAGCTGCTGCTCTGGGGCTCGCTGGGCGCCGTCTCCGTGGCGGGCGCCACCCTCGCCCTGACCCTCCTGCAGATGGTGGCTAGCTACGCGCAGAAATGGCTGCGGTTGAGGCCTGTCCCGTCGTTGCCCGGCGCCTACCCCTTGGTGGGACACGCGCTGGTGATGAAGCCCGACGGCAGAGGTAGGGCCGGGGGCCCTCCCGCCTTCTCTGCGGCCGGGGCGACGTGACTTGAGATGCTGGACGGCAGGATAAGGGCGAGGGGAAGGGTACCAGCCGCTGGAAGTGGGGGGCCCCCTTCTACCCAGTTCTCCCCGTGACACCTGACATTCTCAGTGCCCTCCGTTCCACACGAACCTTTCTTTGCGAATAGCATGGGATGCAGTACTTCTAAACTCCTGTCCTGCTTTCTCCCGTTTTCTCACCTCTCTAGCTACTCTATCCCAAACACTGTCTGACTTTTCTTTTGTCTAGACAAAGCCTTAGGAGCAGAAACTTCCCTGGAACAGGACAAGTATCTCAAAACTTATCGCCCTCCTCCCTCTCTGGAAAGTAAGGACTAGAGAGGGATTCATTAGCCCCCCTCCACCCCCCGCCCCGAAATAGAGACATCACAAGGCTTGAAAACTACTTTTGTTCTTTCTTGACCTTCATATTTTACCAGTTTTAAGGAGGTTACATAATGACAAACTGTGAGGGTAGGGCCTTCTGGCAAACATACAGCAAGTTCTGAAAGCTATATTTATTATTAGTGAATTGTTTTTTACTGAACCATCTTTTTGAAGATATGATTTATATTATGTTTTGTTGATGGGAAAAAAACACACTTTAAGACAGAAAGTCCTCAAAAGTACCTGGTATTTGTAATCCCCCAACAGAGAGGGTGAATGAGATTTTAGCACTTCATTTTCATGGGCATATAAATTAAGATACTCAGACATGAAAAGATTTGCCCAAACTAACATATTTTTAAATAATCCCAGCGCCAGAACCCTATTTCCCCTCAGATTAATTGTAAATAGTAGTTTTACAGCTGAACGTCAACTCCAAAGCTGGAAGGATTCTTTCTTTTCCACTTCTGTTTCCCCAAATAAAAACAATGCTGTCATTTCAACTTCACAGGAATGATGAGGCCTCATGGGAGAGTGTTTACCAAAATACTGGAGAATGCTTTTTGGCTTAAGAAAAACAGTAAGCTTTTCACCAGCCAAACGTCAATGTGACAATGTAACTAGATATATGAAAACCCCATTTGTAAAAATCCTCTTGGTTAAAACTCAAAGCAGAGTGAACACCTCTTTGACCCTAAGGCTTTATAGTATTAAAAAGTAACTGTAGAATTACAGATGCCCCATTCCCCAATGAGAAACAAAATACTTAAGAAATCTCATATTCTTTAGGGGAATTTTTCTAAGAACTGAAATCTCTAGTGAATAAGACATGTTTCAAAACAAAGTGTGAGTTGATTGGAGTACTTACAGTAATTTATAGTCTTGGAGTCACTGAGTGGAATGACTTGAAATACTGTCTTTTATAAAGGGACTTTGTAATCCATTAATAAGTACTAGACTTTGGCATCAGGCAAACCTTTGCTCAGCTTCTAGCTTTGCAATCAAGCAGTTTGATTTTGAGAATTTGACTGAAACTCTAAAGGGAAGAGAGCATCTGGAAAGAACAGAGAGGAACTACAAAACAGCCAGAAAGCATGGAACAAAATGGCGTTAAGTACCTACCGATCAATAATCACATTAAATGTAAATGGACTACATTCTCCAATTAAAAGACAGGAGTAGCTGAATGGATAAGAAAAAAAAAAGATCCATTTATAGGCTCTCTACAAGAGACTCATTTCAGATGTGAGGATACACACAGACTGGAAATAAAGGAATAAAAAAATAAAAGAAAGCTTCTGTAGCTATACCCATGTCAGAGAAAAGACTTTAAAAGGGCATTATGTAATGATAAAAGGGGTCAGTCTGCAAGAAGATATAACATTCATAAATAATATATATGTAGCTAACATAGGAACACCAAAATATATAAAGCAAATACTAAAACTAAGAGTTTCTTACCCTTCATTTGTAAAAGTAACTATATTACAGTTATTTTAGGGATTAAATGTAATGCATGCCATTTCTAGATCACTATCTAGGATTTGGTTAGAATAAGTTTCTTATTCCCAATCAAACATTTTTTGAGACCCTGCCTTCTTCCCAGCATTGAGCTAAATGAAGCTGTGGATACTGGAATATTCTAAGATATGTCCCTTGTCCTCATTAACCTTGACTCTTAGGCAATAAGCTGTGCCTTTCACTTTGTGTCCAAATTTGTGTTCTTTCACATTTGTTGTCCAAATTCTGGCCTCAGTAATCTCACCAGGAGTACTGCGGTTGACTTCTCATTGACCTCTCAAGCTCTGATCTCTCCTTTTTCCAGTCCATTATGCCAACCTGTCTTCCCCAACTGTGGTCTGCTATTGGACCTGATACTTCAAACTACAGATTCAGACTTCCCTGTCTCCTCTGTCAGACCAGACCAGGCAGTTACTATCACGCAGCATGACATTTTGACACTGTTCATTTGACCCAGCCCTTTTCACCACAAATTTGACAATAGTTTTGACAAGAAGACATTTTGGAGCAGTTTGTTATTATGGTTCAAATGGCATATTCGGGGCCTCACTGCCTTGAATACAAAGCCAGGTTCCACCATTTACTAGTGCTGAGATATTGGGCAAGTTACTTAACTGTTCACAGTTTCCTTAAGTGTATAATAATAGTGCCTCTCTCTAACTGGTGAGACATAAAGGACGTAATGCACCTTAAACCTTAGCACTAGATCTAGCATATAATAACCTGTCACAGCAAGTTAATATGACAGAATGGATGTTGGCTATTTTAGGATATTATTAGGATTTGATGTGCCAAAATCTGCCAACACTTTTTTTAAAAGCGTTACTATTAGTACTGTATGCAGTGGGTATCCCTGAGCCCCAGCCCTTCTCCCCCTGCACTTCGAGCAGCTTGCTCTGAAGCCCAGGGGTAGGTGAGGCTTAGGCATAGATGAAGAGAAGGGATGAGCTGAGCACGTGCACATCTATGGTTTGTTTTTAATGCCATGTCAGTTTGTCACTGACGTCCCAAGTTCCCATGTCAAAACAGCCCTGTCAAAATCTCAAGTACCATATTAGTAGCCTCCTAGTAGGGTTGGCGTAGCCCTGCTGTTGTCAGTTGGGCACCCCCTTTGCCTAGGATAAGCCCTGACCCATACACCTAATCACTAGCCTGCCGCTCCTCATGCTTCCCCACCTAGATTTTCCCAGCAGTGGAATGAGGCTCTGCACCATTCCCTAACGTGTAATCAGTTCCCCAACTAGGACTCATGTTCTCCCTTGACCACGTCTTGTTTGACTTGGGTTCTGACCACCTGTCTAGCCTTGGCCAGGTCTTATCTCTGAAGTCTTAACCCTGTATTCTAATTCCTTAGTCACTTGCTACTGCCCTGTGCCTACTGAGGGGTCACTCACCAATATGGTATCCCTGACTGAGAGTTTTGTCATTGCTTGACCTCTCCTAATGCCAGGCTGCATTTCCCAGATCTCACTGATACCAACTCAGCAAGCGTTGGCCCCTGAGTTTCCCACACTACTTTGGTGCTATAGTTGGATTGACAGTCACCATTTCGCCACACCCAACCCAAGGGCCAGCCACAAACGGGTCCAATACCCCTAACCATGGCTGCATCAAATCTCAGCCATCCCTGTCCTCACCCAGAAGCTTCCTGTGGTTCCACCATACCCAAATTACTCACAGATCTCCCACACATTCGTGTTATTGTCCTCTAATACAATTCCAGTCATCTGGTTTGCATCAGAAACTTTCAGCTATTCCTAGAGCCTATAAAAAAAAATGAAACTTCCATGGGCCTCCCATGCTCCGTCTCATCTCTCAGTGTTATCCTGCCGCCCTCCATCCTCTGCTTTGGCTGAACCTACAGGGAATTTCTGACCCGCATGCTTCTGCTCTGCTATTTCTGCTGCTCGGTACACATCCTCTCTTCACCCCTACTGCCCCTTTTGTGCCTACAAAAGTCTAGCTCGTTCTTCAATGCTCAAATGCCATCTCCTTCATGAAATGAGAATCAGTAACTCCTCAAACTTAAATTTCTATTTTACCACCCACTGCACTTTCTCTGGTATTGTGATTTGTTACAGAAGTGACCAACTCCCATAATTTTAAGTCCCTGAGAGTAGAGGTGGGGGTCTTTTGGAGGTGCACATTCCTTGCTTGTGGAATGCTTATGGAAGCAAACTGTATTTCCAGGGAGAACTAAGGTACTTAATCATATTTAGTCTCATTTCTGGACATGTAATAGGAAACTAATTTGACTGATTTCAAAATTTTCCCATCTAATCCCTACATTGTCCTCAGTGCTGCACAATAGATCTTTTTATTTTAATGATTCTTTCTTATATTTACTACAACAGCCCTTCCAATTTTTCATCACATTTCCGAACTCGATTCTGCTACCTGGGCTCTTAAGTTATAAATTTCTTAGCTACATTAAAGGAAATATAGACACAAGCCTATATTTGTATGTGTATATATTGTGTTTCTCTCCTGTGAACAAAGTAGTTTTATAAAAATCTTCCCTCAGCTTCCTCTTCGTACTGTTTCAGAAAAATAAAACTCCCTTCTTTTTGAGTTGTTTCTGTTGAAATAATTTTAGACCTACAGAAAAACTGCAGAAATATTACAGAGTTTCTATATGCCCTCTACCCATCTTCCTCTGACAGTGACATCTTATGCAATTAGTATAATTATCAAAGCTAAAAAATTAACATTTGTACAATATTGTTAGCAAAACCACAGCCCTTATTTGTATTTCACAACATTTTCCAGTAGTGTCCATTTTTTCTGTTCCAGGCCTCAGGCCAAGACCTCACTGACAACTAGTTGTTGTGTTCCCATGTGTTATGCTCCAAGATATAAGTCTTTTCTAATCTGTGATTATTTATCAGTCTTTCCATGTCTATTATGACCTTGACATTTTTTTTCTGATAACCAATAAGGTATTTTGTAGACTATCTCTCAACTTGAGTTCGTCTGTTGTTGTCTCATAATTAGGCTGAAGTTATATGCACTTTTGGTAAGAATACAGTAGAAGTGATGTTGAAAGCATTTCCTCTAAGATCAGACACAAAGCAAGGACACCTTCTTCTACCACTTTTATTTAACATAGTTTTGAAGTCCTAGCCAGAGCATTTAGGCAAGAAAAAGAAGTAAAAGGCACCCAAATTGGTAAAGAAGAAGTGAAACTCTCACTGCTTGCAGATGACACAAACATCTGTATTATGTACAGAAAACCCTAAAGACTCCACCAAAAAACTAACAAATTAATTTATAGAATTAATAAACATTCAGTAAAGTTGCAGGATACAAAATCAACACACAAAGTTTACTGCATTTCTATATGCAGATAAGGAGTTATCAGAAAGAGAAATTAAGAAAAGTCTAATTTACAATTGTATCAAAAAAGAACAAAATACCTAAGAAGAAATTTAACCAAGATTAAAGACCTATACACTGAAAACTAGAAGACACTGATGAAAGAAATTGAAGAAGGCATAAATAAATGGAAAGATATTCTGTGCTCACGGACTGAAAGAATTGATATTGTTAGAATGTCCATACTACCCAAAGCAATCTACAGATTTAATGCAATCCCCATCAAATTCTAATCACATTTTTCACTAATAATGAACAATCGTAAATTTGTATGGAACCACAAAGGCCCCACGTAGTCAAAGGAATCTTGAGAAAGAACATAGCTGGAGGGATTATAATTCTTGATTTCAAGCTATATTACAAATCTATAGTCATGAAAACAGTATGGAATTGGCATAAAAAACACATAGATCAGTGGAACAGAATCAAAAGGTCCCCCAACCCCCCCCAAAAAAAGCCTATGTAAGTAAGTGGTCAGTTAATTTATGACAAAGGTACGAAGGTGCTCAAAATCACTGATCATCAGAGAAATGCAAATCAAAGCTGCAATGAGGTAGCATACTACACCTACTAGAATGGTTTTTTCCAAAAAGAAAATAACAAGTATTAGCTAGGATGTGGAGGAAAGGGAACCCTTGTGCACTGTTGGTGGGAATGTAAACTGGTGCGGCTACTATGGCAATTTGGAGATTCCTCAAAAAATTAAAAACAGACCTACCATATGATCTAGCAATTCCACTTCTGAGTGTTTGTCTGAAGGAAACACAAACACTAACTTGAAAAGATATCTGCACCCTGCCCATGTTCACTGCAGCATTATTTGCAACAGCCAAGGCATGAAAGCAAGCTGAGTGTCTGTCAGATGAATGGATAAAGAGGAAGGAACTCTTGCCATTTGCGAAGACATGGCAACATGGATAGACCTTGAAGGCATAGTGCTAAGTGAAGTGAGTCAGACAGAGAAAGACAAATATTGTGTCTCTCATTTGTATGTGGAATCAAAACAACAACGAAGCCTGCATTATAGATAAAGAGAACAGATTGGTGGTTGCTAGAGGCAGGGGTAGGGGTGGGCAAAATGGGTGAAGTGGGTTAAAAGGTACGAACTTCCAGTTATAAAATAAGGAAGTCCTGGGGATGTAATGTATAGCATGGTGACTGTACTTAATAATACTGTATTATATATTTGAAATGTGCTAAAAGAGTAGATCTTAAAAGTTTTCATCTGAAGGAGGAAAAAAATTCATAATGTGATGGGTGTTAACTAGATTATTGGGGTGATCATTTCACAATATATACAGATACACAATATGTGCAAACATTGAATCAGAGACTTCCCCTGAAGTCACATGTAAGATGACACTTAAAGCATAAGTAGGTGTTACAATGGGCAGTGGCATTAGTGTCCCATAAAGAGGAGAGGCTCTGTAAAGGCCCGGAGATCTTTGACAAGTTCAAGGATTAGTAGGACAGGACAGTTTATAGAGAGTGGATGGGAAGCATCTTCCAGGGCTGGAGAGCGCGACAGGTTTTCCTTCCAATGAAAGGGCAGCATGAGGCAAGGCTGGGAGAAATTTAACAGCTCCAGGGGTCTTGGGGAATGCACCTGATAAGGTCCACCCCCAGCACCCAACGTTTGGGACTTCACAGTTCACAGGGTCGTTCCTTATGGGTTATCGTACTCAGAGGCACCTCGTTCATAACCAAGTGGAATTACCCTTGTGATTCAATCATTAAGTCATTTAATAGTGACTGTGCAGTTTACCTTTAAGATGTAAAGGACCTGGGGGATATTAAATGACTTGAAAAAAAAAAGATAAAAACCCCAAGAAGACACAATAGGGTACTTATTTAAAAATTAAATATTTCTCCCAGATTTTTTTCAGCAGCTAATTTATTACACTGAAGAATACCGACACGTGCCACTGCTGAAACTCTGGCTGGGGCCAATGCCTACAGTGGTCCTTTATAATGCAGAAAATGTGGAGGTGAGTTGGGCAAATAAGGTTAGTATTCCACTGTACATTTAATGATGTGAGCATCACATCAGAACAAATAAAGTCTTATATTTAATTGAATTCAGTACATTGAGCATTCCATTAAATATTTTTAGGCTGTGTAGGTGCTTTCCAAATGTAGTCTGAATCCTGCAGAGAGGAGCAGCCTCTAGATGTCTGTACACGTTTGTTGTCACGTCCCAGTATTTTGGTTCTGTTTTTCTTGGAAAGTCTGCAGAAGGATGTGGTTTTATACAACCATAACATAGATTATTCTACAAGGTGAGCACATGTTATCTGCCAGACTATTTTTTAAGATTCCAAACATATAAGACTAATAAAATATGAGTGTTTCTCTCAAGGTGCTTTGAGTGTCATGTATTAACATCCATTATATATTTATTATTCCAAATTAAATTAATTTTCCTAAAAGAGAATGTTAATCTGATATTGAGATTTTTTTTCTGATATTGAAATATTATTAATCCATGCTCTTGAAATTACTCCTCAAAAGGATTGTTATACATTTTACTTATTGTGACACTGGAGAAATTATCTTGTGGTTTGCTGAGACAAGCATTTGGGTCTGTGAATAAAAATGGGTTAATCAGATCTTCTTTTCATGGAAGAAAATTAAAAATATACAAGTTCCTAGCACACTGTGCTGTGATATGTCTTCTTAATTATTGTGGTGAAGATGCTGGTGTTTCGCTTATACCACCCTGCACAGGAATGGTTCAGAGTAGATAGTGAGGAGACCAGACAAGGACTTCAGGCACTGCTGACTTAGGTCGGTAGAGAGGGACTTGAGCAGGAGGCCCAGGGAGCATTACGTGTGCAGCCCAAAATTCATCTCTTCTACTTCAGTTTGACTCCAGCCAACCGATCACACCCATGGTTTCCAGTATTACTTATATGCTGGGACACCCAAATGTGTACTTGTAGTTCAAGCCTTTATCCTGAGCTTCGTACCTGCCCTCAGCCCTTGGCAACCTGAATGTCTCCATGTCAAAGTACTGAAAATGAACGTGTGATTTCCATTTCCATGGATGTGGTCATCCTTGGGTTTACCGGCTTCCTCTCCCTCTCTTCTTACCCTCAATCAATGACTCCATTCGGTTCCTAGTTCATGGCAGGAACCAGAGAATCACCTTGGACATTTTCCTTTCTCTCAACTGCATTTAGTCTCCAAAGCTGAATGACAGTTATGCTTAAAATCCCAATTGAATTTCTTTGAGGCACAGGAATGAAAATCAATCAGAGAAACAATGAAATATGAAGATATTTAAAATGGTTGTTATGAAATATAACTTTAAAAAGTAGTTGTGTTCGAGCTAGGTATTACAATTGATATCATTCTGATGTCTGTACATCTCTCAACATTTTTTCTTCTCTTTCTAAGGTAATTTTAACTAGTTCAAGGCAAATTGACAAATCCTATATGTACAAGTTCCTAGAACCATGGCTTGGCCTAGGACTTCTGACAAGGTATGTCAATGTGAATGTGTAAAGCTGTCCTGTAGAAACAGTTTCTTCTATGGACAACCTGTTATGTCAGGAATTGATACAAGGTTCTCTTCCTGCAGCAAGACTGTGCTGTCAGCAAGTAGGGAGGAAACAGGAAGAACAGGTGCAGGAAACATTCCTTTGATAGACAGGAATCCAGGGTGTATGGTAATCTCCGGTCACAATATTCAATAATGATGACCACCAGTGTTCCAAGAAGGATTAGATGGTCTTGTTCTATGAATGGAGTAAAGCCAAAGGAGAGTTTGGAGCAGGGAAATCTTGAAAATTAAATGCAAAGGCAGTCAGCCCCAGAAGAGTATATGGAACACAGTCCTCAATCCTTGAGCTGGCAGTCCGCCGGAGGGCCCCTTCCTCTGAGAGAGGGCCTGGCAAGAGAGAGGCAGGGACTTCGCGGGGACTGGAGAATTTGAAGATAGTAGAAATCAAAGTGGAATCACAGAACATGTAATGTACTGATAGAAGGAAGGAGAAAGATTCTAATTTTTGTAAACTCAGAACTGATCCATTCAGAAACATTTTTAAAATTTTCAACTTTTATGAATGTTCTTTTAAATATTAGTAACATAGAATATCTAAAATATCTGTATTTTGTAATAATATGTGAATCTTTCTCTGTCATTCTGACCAAAGCATTAGATAATCTGTAGATGAAGTTATTTCAGGGGAATTGTGTTGACTTGGCCATATTATACTTTGTTTTGAATGTTGCTTCCCTTTGTTTGTAACCATGTATTGTATTTCTAGTACTGGAAACAAATGGCGCTCTAGGAGAAAAATGTTAACACCCACTTTCCATTTTACAATTCTGGAAGATTTCTTAGATGTCATGAATGAACAAGCAAATATATTGGTTAATAAGCTTGAAAAACATGTTAACCAAGGAGCATTTAACTGCTTTTTTTACGTCACTCTTTGTGCCTTAGATATAATCTGTGGTAAGTCTCATTGATTTGTATCTAAAGTAATAGTAAAGATAAATGGCCCAAACAGAAAATAGCGTTCCATTTGGAAGACAAATGAGGGGATTGGAAACGATGTAGGATTCTTCAGGGTGGACCTACTGCTACATTAACTGCCTGAGAAGCAGCACCTATGCCCACGCTTTGTGCGGAATAGTCGCAGAGCCAGCGTGCCAGGAAGAGCAGGGGCGGGAGCAGGAGAAGAAGAAGGTACAAGAGAAGAAAGAAAAGGGGGAAAGAACCATCTTAAAATATGAGAAGAGAACAGGACTAATAGGTTTTTTTTCAAGTATCTGCCAGTGGAAAATAAACATCAATTATGTGCATGAATTGAATGGTTGCTTGTCACCCATTTTACAGAAACAGCTATGGGGAAGAATATTGGTGCTCAGACTAATGGTGACTCCGAGTATGTCCGTGCAGTTTATAGGTAAGTGGAATCTTTTGAATTATTTTTAAAATTGTTATTGATGAGGGCTTTAATAATTGTTGCTAATAACTTGCACTGTATCATTTTCAGTTTGAAAATAAAACATTATACTAAAATTAACTTAACAGTTAAGCATGTGTTTTGACAGTAGGTGAAAGGTTGTGTAAAATATGGAACACCTGGACCAAGCAGTGATTTGATTTGAAATCATTTTATAATATATTGAGAGATGACATCATGCTAAGTGATAAAAGAAAGATGAATACAATGTTTTAGTAGGTTATCATACTAAAATCTTTCATAGAAAAAACTAGAAGATACTAAACCAAGAATGTTAGCTGTGGTTATTGTTGATCTGTGTATGTGCTTCTCTTTCTTATTTTTGTTATTTATTCTCCTTTCCTGTATTTTCTGTGCTGAGTATGTACTGTTTATTAGTTGAGATAATCTATTTACCTTAATTATCGCTTGTGATTATCCATCTATTCAGATGCAAGAGCAGGATTGGATTTGAGGTACCTTAGCTATAAGACCACTGCTCATTTCGTTGTAGTAGATATTAATTGAGCACCTATAATCTTCCATTGATTGTACAAAGTCCTGACTACTTTTACAGTGACACACAAAACAGAATAGCAGAGGAGACAGGCATTGCAACAAATTGATAAAAAAATATAAATTATGATAACGGCTTAAGAAAGCAAGCAAGTTGATAATACAGAGGAACACAGGGATATGTCCTGCAGACTGGGTGGCCAGGAAAGGCCTCTCCGAAGAGGTGGCATCTAAGCTTGTGCAAAGGAGGAGATCCTGTCATGCCCCTTCAGCTTGATCTATGGAAAGAATAAGGGAGGTACTTGGGACAGCTCTGTGCCAGATGGGTATTTATTGAGTACTGTCCTGTAGAAAAGGGAAGCCAGTTGTTTTCTGTCACTCCAGAGAAGTGATCAAGCAAATGAATGGACATTAAAAAGAGGCAGATTGCATCTCAACCTGTGGTCCAAGAGCCACAGGCAGCCTTGGGAGGCTGGGAACTCTCCCCTGGAGAAACCAGAGCAGAGGTCAGCTGGTCATCTAGTAAGGATGTTTTATAAAGGATCATTCATTCCTCTAACAAACCCATTTCATTTTTAAGCTTCATTAGATGTGAAATAGCCCGTGCATTCATCATTGAGCATAAAGTATGGAGTTCCTCATAGCCTCTGAGATGAGTCATCACCATTCCCATCAGTACCCTCACTGAGACCAGACACCAAATAGGTGACCAAGAGACACACATTTTCAATATACCAGCTGACGTATTTTTATCCTATGTATAGGATGAGTGACATGATACATCGAAGAATTAAGATGCCCTGGCTCTGGCTTGACCCTTTTTACATTATGTTTAGAGAAGGATGGGAACACAAAAGGAGCCTAAAGATCCTGCATGATTTTACCAACAGGGTAAGTTCTCTATTTATTTCTCATTGTGGTAAAATATAGTTCACATAAAATTTACCATTATAGCCATTTTAAATGTACAAGTTGGTAGCTTTAAGTGCACACACAGTGTTGTGCACCCATTATCACTATCCACTTCCAGAAGTTTTATATGATTTCTATGTTTGGTTGACATACCTAGTGTAGGACCATACAGCCTGTGTCTCATAAAATAAAAGTTGAATAATGTAAACAGTAGGCAGCATGATTACATCTAAATTATGCATTCAGAAAATATTAAGCACTTGCTAAGTGTGGACACTGTATCAAGTGTTAGAAATTCAGCAATGAGTAAGACATGGATATCCCTACCCTAAAAGAGGTGAGTTTAGTACAGGAGATTGCGTATAAAATTACAAAATAGGATATGAACTATGGACGTTGATTAACAAACAGGGTGCCATGTTAAAAGAATAAAGAGACAGGATCTGCGTTGTAAGTCTAGAAAATGTTTGGATTAGTCAATAGTTTTCAAAGGCAAAGAACATTTATAGCAACATTTCAACTTGGAAAAGATTAAAATTAACTTGATATTACTATTTTATTTCCAATTCAATAATAGCAAGGAGATAGTGATACTGTTTTGGATGTAGGATGTCAGTCTGTGTTAAAGATGTACATAATCACTTGGCAATAGGAGAATGGCCATCAGTTTGTATTTTATGGGTATAATTACATTTCCCCTCAGATTTCATGCATTACTATCAATATAAAAAGTTAACTAATTTAAAACTAGGTGTATGATATTAACCCTTAAAAAAATATTGAAAGTTGCATACTGAGTCCAGGTGAAAGTGGTTCCACCAAGAATCAAGGAGACGTGGTGTCTTACTGTCAAAGAAGTTAAGATCTATTTACTCAAACCATTTATTAGTAATTCTGGTCAATTGCCTGACAGAAGAAAAAAGTGGAAATGTATAGCCAAATTAAGTTTATGGGCTTTAATTCTTTTATGCATTCAACAAATATCTAATGAGCATCCTTAAAGGACCAGGCAGTGGACGTTCCAACCAGGTACCGGAAGTTGGAACTAGAGCAGTGAGCAAAGACCATTTGCTGCTCTGTGGCTGTACACCCACACCCAAGGGGTTGGAAGAGAAAGGTGCTAAATAGCAAGTATGACATAATGCCCAATGGTAAGTGAAATGGAGAAAATAGAGTAGGAACAAAGTGATGCTACTGACCAGCATAACAGTGGTCTGGGACAGTCTCTCCGATAGGGTGACAACGAGCAGAGACCTGAAGGAAGGGAGGGACCAGCCATGCTGTGTCTGAGGAAAGAGCTGTCCAGGCAGGAGGTATAGCAAGCATGCAGAGTGAATTGCCTCCCCAACTTGCTGTTTCTTTTCTCCGGTACAACCCAGAACGAGAGTGATGTGGAATTCATCTATTGTTTGACGACTGCATTCTGTCCACCTAAACTTTTTCTCATTAGCTCATTCAAATTCCCCATGATACTACCCACTTGACTGATTCTCTATTCCTATGTTGGAGAGACTGCAAAAATAGCCCTTGAAAATTCTGAATCTGTTTGACTTGAAATTTGCTTTTAAAAGTCTTATTAAGTAATGCAACTAAAATGCTAACAGATGTTTTCCTGTATTTTCATGAGAGCCTGAGTTATCGGGATAGCAAGAATGGAACAGGTTTAGAAAAAAATGAACCAAAGGAGTTGGCATATTTTCATAGGAAAATGTATTACTAGGCTTTATCAAATTCTGCATAGAAGCATGCGTTTGATTCAATCATACAGGTCATCGCTGAACGGGCGAATGAGATGAAGAGAGATGAAGACAGAAGTGATAGCCAGGGCTCCTCCCCCTCCAAAAACAAGCGCCGGGCTTTCCTTGACTTGCTTTTAAATGTGACGGATGATGAAGGGAAGAAGCTAAGTCATGAAGATATTCGAGAAGAAGTTGACACCTTCATGTTTGAGGTATTTTACAGCATCATGAACAAATCCCAGTTATTTTTTTAGAAGCTTTAGCATTATTTCTTAGTTTAGTGAAATTTTAAAGTAGCTTAATATAGCTAAGGAAGAGTCATTATATTGTGATTAGGAGTTACAAAATGTAAGAGCCCGATTAAGTACCACACCAACGTCCCTCTTCAGAAAAAACTTTTGACTCGTGCTGGGTGCAGCAGTCTCAAGAAAACCTAAGGTCTGTCGGACTTTGGCAAGCAGAACAGTCAGAAATTACTCCGTTGTTTATATTGCTTCATGCTTCCTTTTAATCTCTGAGAACCATAGGTCTGTTTCTTCACTACCTCCTTTTTGAAGGTCTAGCAAATGAGGTCTTAGCTGCCCCAACTAAAGAAGAGAACCACAGCCCTCTGGGAGAGGATTACCCAGCTTGTGATCCTAAAAGGGACTTATGGTCTCAAAAAAGATGTTTTTTTACAAAGATCATTCTAACTATATTACTATTACAAAGGACGAACCTCTGAATATGTGGATTGCAAAGTAAAGATAAAGCAGTGTGTTTTAAAAAGCACCAGGTGGTAATATTTTGGAAGCGGAGGCAGGTCAGTGGCATCAGTAGTTCCAATGGCACAGCTCATGTTCAGCACTGGGTCACCGTCAGGGGGCGCCGCCATACGGCAGGGGAGAGCAGGCTGCCAAGAGCCGAGTGCTGGCCTGGCTCTCTGCGGGCTAGCCATCTAAGGGGGTTCCAGGCATCCCAGACCTCTGCCACAATTTCCCTATGTGTAAACTACAGGGAAGGACTAGATTAGGAGTTTTAAACTTCTTTCTTAAGCAGAGCACTTTATCAAAAAGAAATTTTATGCAGAAAATGGACTAATTAGCTAATTAATCTAATTAGCTAAATAGTGTGGGGGTGTTAAGCCTGTGGGCTCTAGGGGCCAAATCCCAGCTCTAGCCCGTACTGGAGGTGTGATCTTGGGCACCTCATTAGCTCTCTGGGCCTCTGTGTCCCCTTGCTATAGAATGGGCCTCACAGAGTAACTATGAGGATTACTAATGACTTTGTAAAGGGCACCAAGAATCATGCCTGGCATATAAGAGGCATGCAGCAGATACATATTGGCTGTTATTATTTTAAGTTGGCGTGGAGAGACCTTCTCACCCCTCACCCTGCGTGCACACACATACACACGCATGTGCATGAGCACACACACACACACCCATCTCCCACCCATAACCTCTCATTTTCATGAAAACAACCAAATCAATGATCTCTTTCTTCCAGCTCCAACCTTCTTTGAAATTCTAGTTTTATTCTTCTTTGCATCAAACAGGGGGCTTACTCTGTGTAACTACAATATTGTGAACTCCTCCGGAAGGTGGATGCAGGCCTTACTCCATGCCTTTCATGTCCCAAGTGCCAGCATTAGATGTTAAAGACTTTGCCTGTGCCCCAGTCCCTGGTGGGCTTCTGGAGACCGCGTCTGTGTGTCCTTTCCTCTGCTTTGGTAGGGCGGCAGATAAAGGGAAACAGGAAGTTCAGCAAACTTCGTTTAGGCATCTGGGTGAGGCTTCCAATTACAAATTCCATACAAGTACTCAGAGTGGTGAGGCAAGAGCACTTCCTTCTGTGACTCTGGTAGGTGACCGAGTGAAACCAGACACATCTTGTTTGCAGCTCCAAGTAGTTTTGTAAAGGGGCCGCAAGGGGAAGAAAACGCAGTAATGCACCACTATCCGAGACTTGTAAACTATGTACTTTTCAAACTAAATAATAAGCCTCAAACAGTTCAACGTAGGAGCTGTTTTATAAAACAAGTGCTTTGGAGATTTCTGCCCAGAGAATGAACTATTACAACAAATACTAGTGCTGCATAGGGAAAATGGAAAAGATCTTCCATACACAAGATAATTTGTTTTCTCTTTTTCTACCCCTAAATGTATTATTCATAGAGCCAAAATATTACTATTGATTTTTCAAATACATTTTTTTTTCTGAAGAACTCACCATTTTTTGCATGTGGCAATGCCCTGGTTAGATGAGGACAGGAAATAAAAGGCTAATGCCTGAAACACTGAATGGGCAGAGAATGAAGTCCAGGGTGTGAACGTGAGTATCGGCTCCAGTGTCCTCACGTCACATCCGCCACATGCACACAGGGGAAGGCGTGGGCTTGGCTTTGTCATCAGACACTTTAAGGACTATATTCTTGCCTCTTGCCTCTGCCTTCTGTTTAGTTGTCTGGCCCTAGTAATGTTATTTAACTTTCTTTGTCTAAAATAATGAAAAGCAGTATCAAGCATTTCATGGAGTTTTTGTGAAGAATAGTTGAATTAGTTTCTGCAAAGTACTTATTATTTGCCTAAAACTCAGCAAATATTAAATGCAGCTATTTAGCAATTTCTTGATATGGAGAATATTACTCAGAACCACATGTATGTTCCCCAGTGGCCAGCATCAATGGATAGAGCCAAACCTCGCAAATTAGGGGAGGTAGAAAAGCAGAAAGATGGCAAGTGGGTCATGAAAGTCGGGCTTTTAAACCCTTAAAAATGGCCCAACACACCTCATTCCCTTGGAATGCCCCCTTAGTAAACAGCACAGCTGAGCCACTTCACACCAAGTATGCAATTCCATGTGGCATTGAAACCTCTGTAACTATGAGCCTCCACACTGAAGTGACCGTTTGTTTCTCTCTGAGATGCTGTGAAGAATTAATTTACTATATCTGGAGTCACACTGCAGTTGTCAAATCCAGAGACAATTCAGATATAGAGCTATCATTCCTAATCTTCATAATATAACTCTGCTTTTTTAAAACAAGCTATTTTGTTCCTTATATTTGTAGGGCCATGATACAACTGCCTCTGCAATAAACTGGTCCCTCTACCTACTGGGGTGTTATCCAGAAATCCAGAAGAAAGTGGACAATGAACTGAACGAAGTGTTTGGTATGTTTGACCCCTTCACCGGTGACACTGCGGGTTCCGTGTCCTCTGAAGCAGAGGTGGTTTTTACTCATTAGGGAGGGATGTGCAGTAGGACCTGTTCTAAGAAACTGTGTTAGGCAGAGAGGCAACCATATGGGGTCCTTCCAGGACCAGTTTCCTGTGCAAGACCTGCTTTGTACACTCACGGGCATCTGCTAATAGCCTGGCCTGTGTGTACCGGGCTAGCTGCTGGTGGCACACAGAAAAATGTCACTGTTTTCAAGGATCTCACTGCTTACCAGATGAGATGGACATTGTACATAAGGCATCGGGGCATGCCTTTCCTATGGGGAAAGCCCAAGAATCTGACCCAAGAGAAGGTGCACGTCTGGAGGAAGCCCTGAGAACTCAAAATTAACCATTTTCAAGTGTAAAATGTAGCCCATTCACAATGCTGTGCAGCTATTATTTCTACCTAATTCCAAAACATTTTCAGCACCTCAAACGAAAACCCTGAACCATTCTTCAGCCACTCCCCGTAGCCTCCTCTCCCAGCCCCTGGCAACCACGAGTTTACCTCCTGTCTCTATGGATTTACCTATTCTGAGTATTCCTATAAATGGACTCACGCAGTATGTGACCTTTGTGTCTGGTTTCTTTTGCTTAGCACATTGTCTCATTTTATTTTGATTATGTACAATAGTAAAAATAATATTTTAGCTGGAGGTATTCAACATTCAGTGTTTTGATGAACATATTCTTCTTTGATGTCCTGTCCCCAAAGCCACAAAGTTCTTTCATTGTCATTTCATGTACTTCCTTTAATCAGGGAAGTCTGATCATCCCGCCACCTTAGAAGACCTGAAGAAACTTAAATATCTGGAATGTGTTATTAAGGAAAGCCTTCGCCTTTTTCCTCCTGTTCCTTTATTTGCTCGTAATCTAAATGAAGACTGTGAAGTGGGTAAGAATTTGCTAATTGTGGGGAGAGTGGATTTTTTAAATGTGTGTCTTGCTCCATCGTTAATGGCATTTTGACTCCTTGACAGCGGGTTACAAAATTGTGAAAGACTGTCAAGCAATCATTGTCACCTACGCGCTGCACAGAGACCCACGACACTTCCCAGACCCCGAGGTCTTCAAGCCGGAGCGGTTCCTCCCTGAGAATTCGCAGGGACGCCATCCGTACGCTTACGTGCCCTTCTCTGCTGGGCCCAGAAACTGTATAGGTGCGTATCCACCAGGACTGGTCTGACCTTCAGGCTCACACGTAGTGGGTTTCTCCCAGTAACTTCTTTGAGCTGTAGCGTCCCATATGGCAGCAGTCTTTTTTAAAAAACGGATTTCCTTTTACTATCTACAGGATTGTTTTAAAATACGGCTGTCATGGAGTGTTTTCATTTCCCAGGGCTGCCATAACCAAGCACTACGGGCTGGGTGGCTCGGACAACAGAAGTTCATTTTCTCATGTCCCTGGAGGCCAGGAGTCTGAGAGCAAGGCGTTGGCGGGGCCGGCTTCTTCCGAGGCCTCCTGCCTGGTCGTTGTTTTCTCTCGGAGTCACCACACGCTCTTCCTCTGTGTCCTGACCAATTCTTTTTTATAAGGGCACCAGTCAGACTCGATCAGGGTCCATCCATATGAGCTCATTTTAACTTGATTGCCTCTTTAAAGTTCCTCTTTCCAAATACTGCCACATGCTGATGTGTTGGGGGCAGGGGCTAGTTAGGACTTCAACACAGGAATTGGGAGGGGGGACATAGTTCAGCCCAGACACCACCATCACTTGCGTGGCAGAGTTTTTGCTTAAGGTAGAATATATTGTGTATAGTACAAAACTTATTTATAATGATTAATTATATTTAACCTAATTTCTTTGTTGCTGTTAAGAATTGCATTTTGCAGAACCAAAGCAAAGAGCGCTTACTATGCAGCCAGCTAAAGCACATAAACGAAAGGAATGCACGTCACCAGCATTAGAAACACTTTTGGGTTTAGTATCTCTAGCATTTTCCCATATGTGTAAATCTAGGTATCAGACACATGAGGCCAGGTTTAAGTGATGAATCTGAAATAGAGCTGGTGACTGTATGTGCATTAAATTGAAGACCCAATAAGAAAGCAGTCCAGAGTAGTGAATCTTGTGCTTCAGCGAGCAGGGCTGATACGGGCTACCGCTCAGACTCAGATACCGGGCCCTCCCCAGTTACCCACACGCACCGGGTGGGAGCAGGAAGGGCACTCAAGAACCTTCTTTTCTAGCAAGTGCTTTGACTCTGCCATGGCCTGCTGTGAGAGTGTCACACTGCTTGCTTCCTCTATTACGATTTCTCACATTTGCAATACATCTGTAATTCAAGTGATGGCATTTATATTTATTCGAAGGTCAAAAGTTTGCCACACTGGAAGAAAAGACCATTCTTTCCTGCCTTCTGAGGCATTTTTGGGTAGAATCCAACCAGAACAGAGAAGAACTTGGTCTGGCAGGAGAGCTGATTCTTCGTCCAAGTAATGGCATCTGGATCAAGTTGAAGAGGAGAAACACGGAAGAATCCTAACTGCATTGCTGGGCTGTGCTCTTCTCATGTAAAAGGCCTTTGTTTAAGGGGACATCACATTTACAGTTTGTAGATCATGGGTTCAATACTCTTAATCTCTAGACCTCATTTTTTCTTGTTCCCACTTACCTTGGGGTCAAGTCTACCAAAGAGAGAGTTTTTATATTTTCACCACCACCACAGATCTTATCCCTGGTCTTGATCCCAAAATCAGAATTAACTGATGGCAATACCCAAATAAACAAGTTTCTCAAAAGAAGGACCCAAAGGCATCCGAAAGGATTCAATTTCGATTGACAGGCTGAAGGGATATCACTGAATTTCCAGAATTTTTTAAAGGTAGTCTTACATATACATATACATTTAATTTGAAAAGGGTGAGTAATTAAGTATTTAGTCTTGAGCTTAAGTTTTTTAAATTATGTAAGTGGCATCAACTATGAGAAGAACAATTATTATGGCACTTTCCTGATTTTATCACCTGGAGTAGATCATCTCTAAGTTGGTTCTGTTCGTATTTCCCTTTGATTGTGTACCTACAGGCTTCATTTAGTGCTTCACGATGTCACAGTTGCCTTATATATCACATATTATGGGGAGATAGACTCCTCTTTGTAATCTCTAGTCACTCACAGAGCCTCACACAGTTATAGCTTTTGGAGCTGGAAGGACCTTAGAGCTTATCTAGTCATAGTCCCTTTCATTAGAAGGGAATGAGGTTTATGAGAAGAGACGTTTCTGCCCGAAGGCATGGTACTAGTGGGTGACAGGGCTGGAAATAAAGGTCTGTACTCTAAATCTCACCACTCCTGGTATGATACACTTCTACTAAAATATGCTACTGCTTTATGAAACTCAGGTCTGTAATTACTTATGTCATTAGAACACAGATTTTTCTTCCTCTGATTTTGGCACATTTTTCCAGAATCCTTCTACCAGTAAAGGAAATGAGAAGCCAGTCACCCGTATTTGGCATCCCAGTAGGCTCTCTCAGTTTAGGGTGAGACTTTCAGTAACTCAATCCTCCAGAACGTATCTATCAAGCTGATAACTGACACACATTCCCTGAATTTTAATTTCATAGCAGAGAGAAGCAACACATTAAGAGGATGGAATATGTATTTTTCAATGGATATCAAAGAAGGGGTTTACAAAACCAAGATCATCTAGCAGGCGCTACGAGGCAGGGGTATTTAGGGCCAGGTCAGCCACTGTACCCACTTTATTATCCCAAGAAGTCCCAGTGTAGACCACCAAGCCCCTAAGTTGATGAGAAAAAGCCAAGGACGTATATGAGCCAGTTGAAAAAGACTCACCATATGGTTACATTTCTTATCTAAAAAGAGGATAAAAGTAGAAAACCTCATTCCCAGGTGACTTTGGATAACTGACATTTTATTCATGTAAATCGGTATTATTTACCAATTGTATGCTAAACTTACATTTAAACTTTACTTTTTTTCTGTGTGTAACCCCATACTAGACATGAAATTAAATTTAAAGTAAAACATTGCTCAATGTTACTTTTAACCTAAGAACTTCATTTAGTCCCAAAATAATGTAATGCTTGTTTTACTTGGAAATGCTGTTAAACCATGTTAAGAGTTCAAATTGAGAAGTTATGTTATGGTCTGTAGTATCGAAATTCAGATGATTTTTTTAAAAATAAGAGGGTGATCAAGTATCTGTCTCCCTATTAACGTGTTTTACTGCTGCTGGAAAGAGGTATCTCAAAAAATTAATTAATTAATTAATTGGACTTTAAACACGGGTGCTACGTTTTATTCTAAGAATTGATGTCAGTTTGAAAAATAGATGACTTTAAAAGATAAATTAGTGGGTGACTGAGTCATAAGGGTAATAAGAGCAATAGTACTTTGAGTTGATGTCACCGGTGTCATTCAGATTTTCTAAGAAAAGTTTCTTGGGCTACTATCATAGACTGCTCTCTAGTTTCCCTGATTGTGAAGAATAAACTAGAATAGAAAAACCAGAACATTTTGCTCAGCTGATGGCAGAAAGTGAAATCTTTTAGGGCTACCAGGGAGTCAGCAAAAGCCATAAGCATCATGAAATCCCAGGGATGTGCAGTCTAGAAAACTTCCTAGGGGTGGGCCACTGAACTAATGCTCTGTTCACGGTCACAGACAACTGAGGAATGTCATTTTCCAGACCAGCTGACCTGTCTCACAGTTAAAGAGATGCTAGTTACAAAAAAGACCAATTTTTACCCTGGAATGTATCTAGAATATCAACATGTGTTTTTTTCCAGCATCTAATGGCATGCTAGTGGGTCGATTTAAAATATTTTGGTCTGCCTAGAAATCCCCATTTTAAAGAACAGCCCTGTCTTTATTTTTGGAGCTCTTCTGTGATAAATCCTCCCCCCACCCTTTTTCTGTTACCACCCTGTAAATATGTGGTCCTAGCTGAGGCTGCCCTGTTCTCAGGCCACCTCCCTCTCTGCCTTTCCTTTTTCTGGTTCCTTACAAATAGCAACTTAGCTTTCTTTATTCCACCCTCTCCTTCCAGCTATCATCTTACCACAGGACAAAGTGACTGCTGCTCCGTTAGAAGAGTTATTTTTTCATTTACTCTGTTAAGATGTATTCCACTTACTCTTACATGTGTAACAGTACTGTATGTGTAATACTATGCTTCTCACCGAGGCGCCCTGGGAAAAGCAGAGCCTACAGAGTGGTCCTCAGGGACCCTTACTGCCACGGTGCAGACGGCAGAGATCCTCCATGAGTCCAGAGTGCACCACCAAAGACCTTTCTTGGTCAGCTAGGATCCTCTTCCTAATGGGCAGCACGATGTAACTTTACTTTATCTGTTTCTCTCCGGGTGGGCCCTTCTAGCCACACAGCAGCTTCATCAGCGAGTCAGGGCTTTTCCCCTCATTTTTGGAAACCACAGATTCTCTGGACACTCCCTAGGCGGATCACCAGTCTCCTCTACCCACCTCTCGCCCAGGTCCCTGTGCCCCCCCCGGAGGCTCTCCTCCGTGTCCTCACTTCAGAGGTGTCCAGCCCCAACCCCCTCTCTTCAACCACTGTCACTTTGGGTAAATATTACCTTCCATATTAGCCTTATGCTGTGTAACAAATTACTATCATCTTAACCATTTAAGACAACACGAATTTACCATGTCACAGTTCTATGGGCCGAGAGATGGGCTGAGCTGGGCTCCCTGTCTAGCATCTTGCAAGCTCAACATCAAAGTGGGGGCGTTCTGGGCGAGAATCTTCTTCCAAGTTCATTCAGTTTGTCAGAAGTACACAGTTCCTGGCTGCTGTAGGATTCAACCGCCCCTCCCCCACCTCCACTTTCATTCTGGCTCTTAGCCAGAGACTAAGACTCTCAGTCCCAGAAGTCACTCCGGGTCCCTGCCCCCGATCCCGTCCATCTCCAAGCCAGCAAGGGAGAGCTGCCCTCCTGCGAAATACCTCTCACATGTGGAACCTTCCAGATTTCTCCCTATGCTAACAGCGAAGAAAGGGTCCATGTAATGAGAGTAGGCCCAATCAGATAATCCCCATTTTGATTAGCTCGGAGGTGGCTGTTTAGTAGCCATGATTACTTCTACAAAATTGCTTTTGTCAGTAACATACCAGAATCATGAGAAGACAGGTTATCTATTTTATTCACTCCCCAGGATTAGAGTGGGAAATCTTGGGGAACATTTCAGAGTTGTGCCTACCACTCCTCAACTTAATTCTGATCTGGTTCCTCAAGTCCACAAAGAAATGGTTAGTTTTATTGTATTACTGGAACATAACTAATACTTTACTATAAGAGAAATTCAAGCAAAACACAGATTTATATTTAAATAGGTTATAATCAGTAATCTCACCTTTTAGGGAAATAACTTCGGTGGGTTTTTGCTGTGACTTGGAGGCAGGGTGGTTTTGTTCCACTCACCTTTTATCCTGTTGAGGCTGGGAGCAGATGGGATCCCAAATTTGAATACTTTCATACTGCACAGGGCGAGAGGATTCTTGTTGACTGTTGGTGTACCAGTCCATACCCTGAACCTAAAAGGCAGTAAAGCATGCAGATTTGAAGTACGATACTCCGTTAGAGCCAGAAGATTTTACTGGCAACATTATCCTACATTTTTAATAGAACACAGTTCTGCCTGGTAGTAATATGCATAAAATATTTATTTAAGAATCAACTCCCTAAAAATCTAATTTACTAGCCAGAATGATATACCATAAATTTGAAGAACAGTTAGAAAACAAAGGATATTTGGTGGGCAAGTGATCATGGTCTCTAAATATTTTAAAAGGCAAAAAAAAGAAGAAACTATTTTGTGTGGCTCTGGTAGGCAAATCTAGGATTGAAGGATAGAAGTTACAAGGAGCTGTATTTCAGTACATAGGGAGGCTTTTGCCTAAAAATAAAAATGAAATAGAACTCCCTGAGTGGGAACAGACTCCTGGGAAAACAGTCCACTTTTTTTTCCCAGTTGAGGGAGTGTGATAAGGAATTCTAAACTCTATGCCAGGAGTGCTGTACAGCAGGTTTCAAATTACTTATCTGAAAAGGGCCAAAGAGCAAATCTTTTCACCTTTGCAGGTCACACCATCTTTGTCTCAACTGCTTAACTCTGTAGTGGTGGGGTGAAAGCAAGCATAAACAGTACATGAATGAATGGGTGTGGCTGTGTGCCAATAAAACTTTATTCACAAAACAGGTGCTGGGCCAGATTTGCAGTGGTTGATCAGCCCCTCTATATCTCCTTTCCTGATTTGGGTGGGAGAAGGACCTAAACACTGACCCATTCATTCCCTGCCATACTTAGAACTTCAGTGTGACATGCTTCTTTGACTAGGGTAGGGGAAGTCATAGACATCATTTGCCAGATCTTTCCAGGGTGAGTTATGCACCCTTTATTCAGTTGTGCACCCAGGTCACTGTGATGAAAAAAGTCCAGTTAGATGAGATTTAAGCTGCATGACCCCAAGTAACTGGGAATGTTATAAATGAAAACCCGTGCGTCAGTTGTGTGGCCCTAACAGGAAACAGTTAATGTATTAAATGGCTGAACACAGAAATGGGATGTTCATAGAATATGTTGACAGGGCAAAAAGTTAAAACCATTGGCAGAAAACCAAAGTCAATATTGGAGCCAAGCAAACACTGCCCGCAGTGCCACATTAGGAAAGCCTGAAGACCATCCATTTTTAAGTGGCGAGAGACACCCTCACCTCCAGAGCCACGGAAGCAATTGTGCTTTCAGGTAGAGAATTTTTATTACTATGATTGCTTCTGAAAAGTAATTGTTTTACTAAGCATGACTTTTACTTTGTGAAGAAGCTATTAGTTTATGTTCTCATTTCCTGCATATTTAGAGATTATAGGAGGAACTGATATTCTTATAGGTGTAAATCTTTATGTGCAAGATATTTTAAAACCAATGAAAATAGAGACCGATGTAAAATTTTTAAATGCACTTGATTATTTTGAGAGCATTTCTTTATAGGGATTCTGGACTGATATCATTACCATTATTTACAATAATTTTCTTTTTGCTCCGATCAAGAAGTTTCACAAATGTGCAGTCCACCTCCACCTGTTCCTTTTCTGCGATTACTAACCATCTGGGTGGATCCTAAACAATAAACACAATAGAAATGTAGAGGTCTCCATTTGTATCTTGTGTCAAGGTCCCAGGGTAAAATGTACCACTGAACTCTTGTTCTCTGTGCTGTACTTTATGCAATTATGTGCTTAGATTTGCCATCCAGACATTTATAAGAAAACCTATCTCACCTTAAATTAAGATTCGTGTTAATTATGCTCTATCTCCAGCAGAGTTACGCATGTGTTGCTTTCTCTTTTAGGATGATCTTACTCAGGCAAGCAGCTTCTTTCATTTGCTTGTTTGCTACAGTTTCCTGTGGTGAGTGGACTATCTGTAAAACATAAAGGTGTGTGGGAAAGGAGTAGTTAAGCACGACGATGTGCCACCCCCTGGAGAAAGTCACTGAATATTCAGCTTCTGGAAGGAGGGAGGCTCTGATAAATCAGGACACATATCCTTTTAATGTTCGGAGCCAATTCCCACTTCCTGGATAGGCTGCCCTACACACGCCAGGGGGAGGAGCCCAGGAGTGAGTGTGTATTTGGTCACAGGCTAACAGAAACTGCTCTTTGGAAATGATTCTCTACAAAGCAGATCTTAAAATAATCAGCCTTCTATCTTAATCAATGTTCTCTGTATATTTAAAAGCAGGCTAGGCGTTTTATAGTGTCTGGGTATGACCTAAGTATTGGTAATAGGTGCACAGGACATATTTTTACTCTTTTAGACCACTAGGGTACTATTTCAGAAATGAAAGTATCTAGTTTACATTTAATACACCATTCATTTGAATAGTTCTAATTTCAACATTAGGTTTTGATCTCATTTCTCTTTCTATTCATCCCATTAAAGTGTCAGAGAATAAGAATGATTTTGGACACTGTTTTTCATTCAGTTTAGAATGGAGTTTTCTCTGTGCCACTGTTAGGGGTAGATTCTATGTTTTCTTAAGATGGCCACACCACAATGACTATTTGCTTACCTCTCAGATGTGTGGCTGAGATACACACCCCTTGGGTAAGGCTTACATTTGTAAAGAGATACAATTCTTCAGGAAGAAGCTTTTTTCTAAACCAAACTCCCCTTATCTGTGCCCTCTCTCCTAATTGCTCTTCTGAGCCATAATCATTGCTATATACACACCCACTGAATGCTGAGGAATAGAAGCCACAGGTGCTGTGGACCATGTCCACTTCAATTCTATTTTTCTGGTAAAAAAAAAAAATTATGATGGTAGGAAAATTAGAGGTGCAAAGAAGCACAAAATGAGAAACTACATACTGCCTATAGACCCATAGCAGCGAAATGAGCATTGTTAAAAAATCTTTGTTTAGCTGTAAGGTATTTTTCTACAGATATCTATTTACCCATTTAACAAAGATGCTATTAATTATATATACTTTTTTATAACTTGTTTCCCATTTATAGCCATCTTTTTGTGCAAGTAAATATATATATTATTTGGCACTTTCCCTATTCTTCCCTATTCATGGTATATTTTTGTGGGCACATTTGTACACACATATTCAATTATTTCTGTAGAATAATTTTTGGAAATAAAAATGCTAGAAACAAAGGTGTGAATATTTTTAAAGGTTTTATGACCTACATCATGAAATTATCGTCCATGGGGGTCATTCCGAAATTGATTTTTTCCACCAACAGATGAGAGTGATCATTTAGGCTGATTCTCGGAGTTACCTGTTGTTTTGTGGCCTGGCAGACATTCACTGTTCTGGAAGGAATGTCCTAATTTCTTTCTGGAAAACTGTTGCCTCCCAGCTTGGTTCATCAGGCAGGCCTGACCCAGGCGACCTGAACAGTCCTGCTGGTTGTAATGACTTAGCAGAGCCCAAGTCTCGCAATGAGATTTTTGTTTACACTTCCAGAAACACAACTTATCCTTTTCTCCAATTGGGCTTAAGCTGCGGGAGAATACCCAGGCTTGAGCTTCTGGCACCACCTTGCTACAGTGTGGAGCTTGACAGCAATGGCGCCACCACAGAACACAGCAAATGTACGAAGGCGAACCGTGTCTTGATGGGATCAGCTGAGCACCACACCCAGTTCATCCCGAAGACCCCCCGGGGACTCTGGCTTCTGAACCAATATGTTGCAGTTGCATTCATGTCACTCTGAACTAGGTTTTTTTTATCATTTGCAACCAAAATCAGTATATCAACACCAGTAACTTAGATAATTTAAACCTTTTGCTAGTCTGGTAAGTGAAATGGCATCTAGTTGTGTGAACTTGCCTGGGTTTGTGATTTCTTTACTATTGTTATATATTTACTAGTCACTCATATTTCTCTTGTAAATTACCTTGTCATAACTTTTGCCCAATTTTTGAAAACTAGTGTGCTTTACTTCTCCTTATTATGTCATTTTTAACAAGACCAAATAACCTGCCCAACGTCTTGGACACAGGGGCTAGTGGGATGAGATATAACATATATTATGTTGTGGGATAACATATGTAACAGTGCCTTAATACACTCTCAAGTACGATACAGACAAGCCTACCGTTACCATCATCACCATCAGCAGCATCCCTGTTACTGAGTTTGGAAGATAAGCAAGAACACCTACGAAGACTTTCTGTCCAGTCTGCTCCAAAGTTGGCATATTTCTAGTTGCCCTTTCCATAGGCTGGGTTATGCGACAGTTTGCAGAAGTTCAGTGGCAGAATGGGAACCCCCAAGTTCCCACTGGCCATTGTTGGTACCCACGTTTGTGCACTGGGATGGGGAGGGTGACTAATTATGAGTCAGCCAAAATACTAGTTGTCTCAAACACAGGCCACTTTGCAGTTTGCATGGTCGCCGGAACAACTATTCAGTATTCTGGGAGCATAGGAGATCCAGGCCTATACCCTTGGCAACTTGTACTCCCAGAAACTTTCACCTGAAAGATCTCTGTACTTTCTAAATACAAACTTTACCTAAGGCTTAGTCATCTTAGCCACACCTCTGAGAGGGAGAGAAGTGATCCTGGGGGGTTGCGTCATCATAATGGGGCTCAGCGCCATAATCCCCAGAGAGGTGGGATCCTGCAGATAGAATTTTAATCCCCAGTGTTTAATGAAGTACATGTGGATAAGCTGCCCATCCCCTGAAAGGCAATACAAAAATAAACCGTATTAAAACTGAAGCGTGACTAGTGCCCTAGGAGACAGACGAGGTTGTCATAGGAATATCCTGTGGTTAATGAACAGTTGACCAAGTAAAGTGAATGCAATGCCTGCACTGGAGGAGGTTATTAATCTAACTCTGAATTGGGTCTTTCAAGATAAACCCAAATTCCTAGGTTAAATTTAACACTTTAATATATGAAACAGTAAAGGTAGCACTTAATACTATGATAATATGTGGGATACAGGGTACTTCAGAGGTGCAAACCACCAAATAGCAAACGGTTCAAAGTGGATTTCCAATTTGACGTATGCATGTATTTGCTTAAACTATGCAAAACAAATGAGTCTGTGGAATCTGAATAAATACCACCTCCTCTGCACTCATCTCAGCAATACCCAGTAACGGTTAGTTTGCTTGAATTAAACTAAGCATGGGGAACATTTTACATTATCGCACACTACAGAAGGGGGCAAGATTAGGAGTCAGAAGAGCTGGGTGTATGTCCCAGGATACTCATTACCCATGTGGATCCTCGGCAAGTTTGTACTGCCCTGAGACCCAGGTACTTAACATCTTTCTTTAAAATAAAAAAGTCAGATGCATGTAATAAAGTCTGTCTCTAGCTTCTCTTACAGAGTAACTGTGAGAATCCAGTGGGAATGTTTGTTTTGAAAATGTTTTGATAAAGAAATTACACATTGTTATTTTTAAGGCATGATATTTTCATAGCACATTAGGCGATGGAGAAAGCAAGCTAGGACTGTATTTTCTTGGGGAAAAATTTATGTGCAAATTATTGTATGATTTAATAAAGGTCAACGAAGTTTCTTGTACAGAAGTACTCATAGGAGGTCTTTAGATGACATTATACATTGTTCAAATAGTCACCATGTTTCATTTTACTTCTATAATTAAAGTCATGTCCTAATGATCTCTGGGTAATAAGTGGAGGAAGTAACAAGGTTCAGAACACAGATATATTTCTATTAAAATATTTGCATTTGTACTAAATTAATGTTCTTTTTCCCCAATGATTGTATCTCAGGATGCCTGACTCAACTGTATGAAAATACCTTCTTCAGAGGGGGGGATGTAACCGCCATGTTTACCCCAAACGCCCAGTACTGTAGGATGATGTGTACCTTCCACCCTAGATGTTTGCTATTTAGTTTTCTTCCTGCAAATTCAACTAATGACACAGACAAAAGGTAAAAGTTGGTATTTCATTATTGGAAAAGCCTGTCAGTTTTTCACAATGAAACCGGTTATATGCAAAGGGGTGTAGCATTTTAGGGTCACATCAAATAGGGTTCAAAGACCAGCTTTGCTAGGATCACCTGCAGCGGTTCTTACATAAGTAGATTCTTAGGCTGCAGCCTAAGAACCAAACCATTCAGCCCATCGAACCAAAGTTCAGGGCCTGGAAGTATGCATGTTAAACAATGGTTGTATTCACTTACAGTAGTGGAAGCAAGTCATTTCTATGCTAGGCCTGAAGGAAAAAGCTTGAAAATCACTGGGTTAAGAGATTGTCTCAAGAAAGGGTCTAAAAACGGGTGGGTATTTCACCCAAGCAATTAAACATACTTGCTGCCTGTCTCGTGATTACATTTGTGGCTAGCACAGTCCTAAGAAAATGTAACAGAAGGTAAGCATTTTGAAGATATCATTAAGATCTAGACAGAGTTTGTGACCTTGGGAAAGGGTGGGCCTTACTGGTGCCTATAGTGAGCCCATTTGTGAACCCCTGGTGTACATAGTGTGTGTGAGTGCCTGTGAATGTATATTATTAACTGGCAGTTTGGAAACAAGCATGTGATGTACAATCTTCATAGGTCATAAAGTTGCCTAAGTACAGCCACAGTTTCATGATTTTAATTTTGATCAATATCCAGAATGAACATTTCTTCATTGTGCCCCTTTCCATATCCACAATTCTTTTCTTTTATCTTCTCTCTGTTTGAATTTAACAACTGGGAAGTAAACAATCGCCCCCTGACTCTACATGTTAAACCTGTGCAGAAAACCTGGACCATATGTGTGAACCATCAACTTTTTAAAACAAAATGCTGTTAGGTTCTAGAATCCTTGTGGATAACGGAAGTGTCATTAAGGTTGATATTAAAGACAGGAAAGAGGTCTTTCAAGTAGATGTAGACTACAAGTCAATAAGCATAGATCCAACTCTCACAACTAATTTAATTTCTTAAGTAAATGAAAGTACTTATAAAAATAATCACCAGGTGGGAACATAATTCCCCAAAACATAGGAAAAATCATTACCTCTTTAATATGACAGACTTTCTGTACTGAAAAAGTTGACTGTAAAGGAGAGCAATACTGAAGTTAGGGGTTACAGACCATTAGATATTATGGAATTGCCTCTAAGGATGTTCTTTCCAGCAAGTGTCAGGGAAGCTATTATTATTCCCACTATTATTTTCCTTATTTATAGCTCTATTTATTAGTGTATAAAAATGCTATACATTTCTCCAATGTTTGTTTATTATCCTACTTCCTAAGATAAGCTACTTTTAAAAACAGGTTTGGTTGCTTCTTGAAAGACAGTGTTACAGGAACCCTGCCAAGAATGTCACGGACAAATGCAATTTCTGGACATTCCTTAAAACAATGTGGCCAGCAAATAAGTGGTAAGGTGTGGATTCTTTAGCTGAATTTGAATGACTAATGGGTCTACCTACGGATGGCTCTTGCTCACACTGTACTGTCCTTTGGAAGGGCACACTCAGAAAGATCAGAGACGGGGCAGTATTCTGGATGTATCCCCTTGTGTTTATCAGTTAACACCTGCTTAACAAGCCGCTATTGTTCAAGAGGTTAGCACTAGAGTGTACGATTTGCAGAAAGTGAATACACATCCAAACAATAGCATCCCCTTGATTCCAGGTAAGATCTTAAAGAGAACAACACAGAGAGCATCTCTACCTGTTTCACTTGAGGGTAATTTGGACATCAGTGATTCTCAACCAGGGACTTAGTTCTTCCTCCAGGGGGCATTTGCCAATGTCTGGAGACATTTCTGGTTGTCACAACTTGGCACCTAGAGATCAGAGATGCCGCTAACATTCTATAAAGCCCAGGGAAGCTCCGAGGACAAAGGATTTCAGGTCCGAAACGTCGATAGTGCCAAGATTAAGAAATCATGTTAAGTCCCAAAACTGAAGGAGTGGGCTCTGAAAGTCTTGCTGAGAATAAAACTTCTTAGAAAAAAATGTGAGGACTAGAGGCCAGGAAACTAATTCTGATGCTTACTGCTACTAATGTCTTGAGAAACAATTACCAGCCATATCCTAAAAAAAATTTGAGGCAAATGAACTATTTCTCTGACATGATTGATCCAAAGTGAAAAGTACTGAAAAAGATTCTCTCAATTGATGGGCTGGTGGAACCTTAAAATAACCATGCTGTGCTTATATGTAGTCGCTACTTTACCTTTACTATCCACAGTTAATTTTGCACTTTCAAACTTCAGATGTTTTAAGGTTTTTCATCCTTTGCTCCCTCATTCATACCACTCCCTCAATGCACACACGCTCTGTGCCTGCCGGCTGTGTCATAACCAGTCCTTAGTTAAAAACATGGGGGCCTGACTTAGTCAATACGTAGTTTACCTGAAGAGTACATTTCTTATTTTGTAAGATCAGACTTACATCTTAATACAATTTAGTGTAAATTATCCAGTTAAGTGTTCTTTCCAGTTACAGTATCATAGTAAAATGTAAAGAAAAATGTGCCTTTCTCAATACACCTTAGTCATTGTTATTTTTTCCAAAAACGTAGTCTTACACAACTTAATGTTCCCTTCTAACTCTCCCCAAGTATTTTAAATTAAAATGAAAAATTCCTCGCAGGCACATAAAGTCTTTAAACTCAAGACCAATTTTAGTTTAAAATATTTAGAGGTAGCTTTATAGCTTTCAACTAATCATAAAGAAAAGTCTTAGTCTGTAAGTATCCCATCCCAACTTTGCCTGTTTCCTGTCTCACATGCAGCAGAATTGGAGATTTCTCATACATATTCTGAAAATCCGTGTGTGCACGAACCACTGTGAATAATCAACTCAATATATTGTTGCCCTACTAATTTGTATATTTTCTGTCATTCCCACCATTAAATCTAGTTTTATGACTTCTTCAACCGTACCTCTTAGGAGTAGAAAATATACATACAAAAGATCATGGCTTATACTGCTAGTTTCCTTAACCAAGGGTCTAACTAACAAATTCGACTCTTAAAAATAAAGAGCCTAAGTCATAGATTTGGATCACCATCTGTCAAAATAGCTACCTGTATTTTTAGAATAGAAGATAAATTTCAACTGAAAGGGTGCTTAAGTGGAATTTAGCACAATTTTAAAGCAAGAAGGAAAAGGTTTCATTGTTCATATACAAGTTGATATAATGACTCAATACATAGATGAGAGTGACAGATTAAATGTCAAAGACATGGGCTTCCAGATGCAATTTGCAATCAGACAGGTGTAGCTGAAGGCTGAGAAATAAGCAAAGAGGTAGAGAAGCTCCTTTACTCAATGCCAGGGGTTGAAGGCACTCTTTGATAATGCAAACCCCTAGCACACATCAGCAGGGGCCTTGTTACTATTACCCTGCGTATCGTCCACGCGCACTGACAAATTCAGCTTGCAGTATTACCTGTACTGCTGCACAGACTCTGCAGTTTGGAATGCCAAGTAATCCCTTTTCCCGGCGAGTGCGCGCCAACACATACTGGAATGTGTGTACTTCAAGCAGAGCTTTATAATTTAATGATGTGATAAAAATTCTACATCTCTTCATTAGCAGGGCAGTTGCCAAAACCAGAGTATTATCCTTTAAAACCACCCTGCCCAAACTGACGATCTACTTCTACAAGGGAAACTGACCGTGCATTTTGCTCTGTGCATTTTATTTGTACAGCTTGCCACCAAGACATTCATGAAGGAATTGATATGAGAGGAGTCAATTTTAATGTATCTAGGGTTAAAAGTGCTGAAGAATGCCAGGACAGATGCACCCATCACATTCGCTGCCAGTTTTTCACATACGCTACACAAACATTTCACAATGCGGAGTACCGGTGAGTGGCGCTCATAGTGTTTGTTCTTCCTAACGTGCTTTTAGGGTTTAACTGTACTTTTCATAACCTTTATTCACCCAACTGAAAACCAAACAGGGCTTTTAGACCTGACCCCCTCATTATTTCTTTAGTCAATTTTGGTGTCATTTTTCCAGCAGAGAATAATCTCCTTGCATGTGGAATGAGGGTTTACTAGAATAATGTCTCCTTTCCTTACCCTTCCCTCTGCAGAGGGGAAAGATGTCTTTTTGATTAGTAATACAAAGCCCTACCATTTATTATCAAAGTCTGGTTGCTTTGTCCACTGGCCATGAGTCATTTCAAGGCAAAATGCACTGCTGCATGCACCCCATGATTTAGGAAGCCCAGTAACCTCTTTGCTTCACATTCAGGAACAAGTGCCTATTAAAGTACAGTCTGCAAGGAACACCCACCAGTATAAAGGTGGTGGCTGACGTGGCATCTGGATTCTCTCTGGGGCCTTGTGCACACTCAAATCTTGGTAATTGCATGGTTACTATTTTGCTCTGTGATTGTAGTAGGCAGAATGAGAACCCCAGAGGTGTCTACATCCCAATGCCTGGAACCTGTGAATATGTTAGCTTCCTAGGAGAAGGGTTTTGCAGATGTGATCAAGTTAAGGATTTTGAGATGGAAGATTATTCTTTGTTATGTGGATGGGCCCAGGGAAGTCACAAGAGTCTTTACAAGAGAAAAAGGAAGACTGAAGGGTCAAAGTCAGAGAGAGAGAGAGAGAGACTTGAAGATGTTACATGCTGGCTTTGAGGACGGTGAGTGGATCCGGGAGCCCAGGAATGGAGGTGGCCCCCAGAGAAGCTGGAAAACGTGGGGCAACAGGTTGTCCCCCAGCCTCATGAAGGAAGACAGCCCTGCCAACATCCTGATTTTAGGCAAGACTTATTCTGGACTTCTAAGCTCCAGAATTGTGAGATAAAAAAATTGTGTTGTTTTCAGCCCCGAAGTTTGTGATAATTCGTCATGGCGCAATGGTGAATGAGTATAGTGATGGCACTGTAGAGAAAACTGTGAGGTCATTTCTTGGGGGTGTCCATTATCTAGTGACATGACTACCATAAGGAATCAGAACACTGCAGTTTCAGACACATAGGTAATTTCAACTTGGTTATCTAGAAAACTGCCATGATATTCCCCTTTAGTGGGCATTTCAGCATCTTAATAAGATGCTATTGAAACCAAACACCAACAGCCAATCCTACAGAGCTCCGGGTGCCAACTCTGTGCGGAGCCCCAACTCGGGCGCTGCGCTAGGCCCCCACTGAGCAAGGTGGCAGCAGTGCACCACACCCCCTCTTTGCCTCCTCTCCCCGCCCGCACACCCCAGCCGTGGCACGTGCTGCATCTACTGGTTCACATTTCCTGATCATTTAATGTTTAATATTCATATTTGGTTCTTTTTTAAAAATGTAATTTCTACACTTTATTGATATTTCTCGATTTGGTGAGACAGTGGTCTCGTACTCTTCTTCAGTGTTGTAGATGTGGTTTCCTTTAGCTCTCTGAGCCTATTTCAACGAGCTGGCAGTGTCCTGGTATGGCAGGTCCCATGTCTGGCCTTCCTCAGCAACAGTTGATACCGACTGCCTCTTTGCCTGTCCAAGGACCAGACTTTGTCTCTTTGCATGTCTTGTAATTATTTGGGGAAACTATCAGAACTCTTAAATACCAACACATGGCAGCTCTGGAAGGCAGATTCCCTCCTTCCCTGGGGTCTGCTGTTCCAGCTGATGCTGTTGCTGTCATGGCTGCTTGTTTGGTGACTTTGCCGAACTAAGTCTTTTTTTTTTCCCTACAGTTTTAACTTCAGTGGGCACATGGCCTGCTTTGGTTAGCTACAACATTTTTATTCATCTCTTTTTGTTAAAAATATTCAGGAAAACATAACACAAAACCTCATGTCCCTAAGGCCTAGAGTGTAGGGTGGAGGGCAATATGCACATGTCAAGTAACCAAAATATTTTGCACTTTTGGGGATGGAGCCAGGGGGCCTAGGTTAAGCAATCCTAATTCTCTGACATAGGAATCTCTCTTTTATCAGAGGTAGACTAATTTTTCCTTCTTCCAAATGGTCAACAAGTTTGAGGAGATGTTAACTGACGCTTTTTCACTTAGGATGTTTAGTGCTATGAATAACAAACAGTCATAATTTGCTTAGTTATGATGACAGAGCACAGGCAAATTTAGCGTTATGTCATTTACTGAGGGACATCTGCCCTCTGTGAGCTCACAGGTTGCCACAGGGACATTTTCCAACATCTCGCCTTTTCCGACGTGGACGTTGCCAGAGTCATCACTCCAGATGCATTTGTGTGTCGAACCATTTGCACCTATCGCCCCGACTGCCTCTTCTTTACTTTCTACACAAATGCACGGAGCCCCGAGTCACAGCGGTAAGTGTGAGTGCGTGACGTTTGCGGCTGTCCCCCCCATCACTGTGATTTTACAGTTTGAGTCTTCGAAAGGCTTTGTTCATTTTCCTGAAAACGTCTGAACCTGTAGTGTAAGTAGGTATTTTTCTGCCAGGTGCAGATTAGGTAAGAGCTTAGTGGACTTTTCCGCCTATCTTCTCTTGCTCAAACTTACCGCTGCACCCACGACCCAACAGCCAGGGGAAGAAAAGGAGCTGGTACCTTTCTTACTGATCGTCACGTTTTCCACGAACGTCAAGGAGAACGCGCTTGCTGGCAGCACATCCTTTAAGCCTGCTGGCTCTAGCTCCGTTTCAGAAACTAGATCCCTGTGTCCTCCTGCTCAAGGTTCTGGTGAGACCTTTTCACCCTTAGATAATCTGCCCTTTCCTTTCTATATGTCTATATGAGATGGAGCTACGAGAAGGGTAATATAATAGTATCAGCAGCATAAATCCTCAGAATTTGTTCTTTGCTCTTTTTTCTCTTTCAATTAAAAGGTGGAACTTTACCTTTCTCCTCTTTTCAGGTTATCTGTGCCTATCAGTTTTCTTCACAAGGAGATGTAGCTTGACTTACATTTAATCTCCATAATTTATTAGAGTCCTGTCATCTGGCTGACTTTGAAGAGAGTTTCTCAGGAGAAAAAAATGTGCAGGGGTGCTTTGTTGTTATGAAGGGCTTTTGTATTTGTCTTTAATGCAGTTTGGTTTCTCTCTCCTCCTTTATTAAAACAGAAATGTTTGTGTCCTTAAGACCTCCCAAAGCGGGACACCGAGTACCCCCACTCCTCAGGAAAACGCCGTATCTGGACATAGCCTCTTAACGTGCAAACAAACTTTGCCTGGTAATGTGACTCAGGGATAATATTACATAAAATGTGATGAATGTTATGACCTTATAACATGTCATGACAAAATAATGATACAATCCTCGGTGTGCCAGAAACTCGTGTGAAAGTGGTTTATTGCTGTTTTCATTTCGTATCTTTTTGTTTCTAACTGGCACAGAGCCCTGCCACTCCAAAGTTTACTCAGGAGTTGCTTTTGAAGGGGAAGAATTGAATGTGACCTTCGTTAAAGGAGTGAATGCTTGCCAGGAGACTTGTACGAAGATGATCCGCTGTCAGTTCTTTACTTATTCTTTACTCCCAGAAGACTGTAGAGGAGACAAGTCAGTGAAAATTTATTTTTCAAACACCACCAGCAAGACAATTTCACGAGCTTTCCCGTTGCATGAAGGCTCGATCTTTACACTGATCGTTTTCTCTAGGTGTAAGTGCTCCTTAAGATTATCTCTGGATGGTGCCCCAACTAGGATTACTTATGGGACACAAGCGAGCTCTGGTTATTCTTTGAGGTTGTGTAAAGGTCAGGACGACTCTGGTGAGTAAACCTCACTTTTTCATAGAACTGTAAGGGGATGTCCATGTCCTTTCGACAGCTTGCATAGTCCTGTATAATGGAATCATGCATCTTGTTTTCCTTGGCTGAAGAGGACTCTGATTCACCTCTAATTCCCACCCTCTTTAGTCTGCCCCAAATCAGACACACGCATCGTTGGAGGAACCCACTCCTCCTTGAGAGAGTGGCCTTGGCAGGTCAGCCTGCAAGTGAAGCTCAAGGAGCAGAGCCACGTGTGCGGAGGGGCCATCATTAGACGCCGGTGGGTCCTAACTGCTGCCCACTGCTTTGACGGGTAAGGTTTGGATGTGTCTTATCCAGGTCTTACCCGGCATTTTCAGTTTGAAGAATCTGATCACCAATGTCTCGATCATCATGTTAGTTTATTAATAGAATATTACTGTTTTAATAAGAGTCATTTTAAAGCAGGATGGTATTCACAATTTTGAGCGACTAGTAGGGCCTCTGTGAAACTGAACAATCTGACCTGTCAGAACCTTGTGTGACCTATCTGCAGGTTTGACACTTCCTGGGGGACATTACTCCTATTTAAAGAACAATGAAAAAATGCCCCTCCTGCCCCACTTTCACCCACCACTGCCCATATACTCCCATGGCTTATTCTTCAGGCCCATGGAGACTTTACTTTCAGCTCTTTGATTCACACATATACTAATATTAATAATAAAATGAAAATGCTGTGATTTATTGTATATATTATCCTACATATTTCAAAGAATATAATCTGATATAATATTTCTACTTTATCAAACAAATAGTGTATATATATGTCAGAGTTTTAAAGTTTTAAATACTTAGACCAGAGCTGGAGTCACAGCTCTGCCACTTACTCGAGGTATGGATGGACTTTGGGTGATTATAAGTCTCTCTTAGTCTTGTTTTCTTATCTGTAAAATATGAATTATAATAGTATCCTATTTGTAATATGATTGGAAGGATTTAACATTATTGGAAGGACATCCTTAAAATGTATACCACTATATCTGGAACATAAAAATTACTTTAAGAAACGTAAGTTGTGATCAAATAAGAAATGTAAAAATAGAGGAGATGAATATGCATAAGAGATACTAATAACCCTAAAATAAGACACTTGGTGTCTCTCAAAAAGTATTTTCCTTTCTACAAAGTTCTGCTCTTCTCTGTCTAAAAGGAACACAGAAACACTAATTTCATATTGGAAAGAAAGCCACTTTGTACCTGATATAACCATTATTTCCTCTAGCATTTTGTGAGAGCACGTCTTGCACCACACACGTAAGGATGATAAAAATTTCCAAATCTTTACACACAATAAGATTTCGATTTTGCTCATAATTTGATTTACATTGTATATACTCATATTTTAAATGGTTAATTTAAGTTTTCATGCTTTCCAAAATATAAATAGATAGAGTTTAAGTAACTCTGAAGTCCTGATAGGGCTCATGTAAGATCAGTCTGACTTCTCGGTAATTCTGAATTTCATGGGAGCAAATGCTTTCAGCATCAATGAACTGAGTAAGATTTTCCTGTGATAAATGTCTAGAATCTCTCCAGACCACAATTTCTCTCAGAATGGGACAGCAACCTTCTTGTATTTTTAGTTATAGTAAACATGAAATAATTATATAGATGTACATTTTTCAACTTCTAAACTAATCTGCAGAGATTCAGTACTGCTCCTATTGGTGATGACAAATTGCTAGGAAGAGTAATTAGGTAAGTAAAAATATGTCACATGTAGTATTTTCTTCTTAGTTCTTTTTGAGGGAAAAAATACCAGCATCAAAGGCCAGTCTTTCTGGTCTCAAACCAGTATTTATTTTTCCCTTCTAGGCTTCCCACGTTGGATGTTTGGCGCGTTTATGGTGGCATTTTAAATCTGTCAGAGATAACAAATGAAACACATTTCTCACAAATAAGAGAGATTATTATTCACCAAAATTACAAGCTCTCAGGAACTGGTCATGATATTGCCTTACTAAAACTTGAGCATCCTTTGAATTATACTGGTATGTAGCATATTTAAAGAGAAGCAAGCTGCACGGCTGAATTGCATCGGTTTAAATCTTTACAACAGTTTGAATGAGAGGGCAGAATCTGGAGAGACTGTCTTTGTTTTATGGTAGTGGAATTGGGGAAAAGGTGAGGAAAGGTAAAACATGAGTGTAAAATCTCTTATAGTTAAAGGGCAAGAAATGTGACTTTGTTCCTTTAGGTAGGACTACAGCTGCATATACATTATTGAAATAATAGATATAGGAAACATCTTTGCCATCTGGGAAACATGGCTTCCTTTGACATGAGTAGCAGAATTAGGACTTTAGGCACATTAGGAATATATGAGGGCAAATGGGCAGATATTAATTCCCAGGTGTAACCTGAGTAGAGAAGAGACCCTTGCAGAAGGAAGCTCTGGAAAGATGACAGCATCAAGGTTGGAGGGGTTGCACTGGGAGGTGAGAAGAGCCATAGGTGCTGAATGCCCAATGTGTCCATTAATGATTCTGTGACCTTAGGCAAGTGGCTTTTACCTCTTTGCACCTCTAAATTCCTCATCTGTAAAATGGGCATGATAATTACCCCATTGGCTTATTATAATAACTAAGTCAGTTGATAAGTTAAAGCACCTAAAAAATAGTGCCTGAAACAGTAGAGACACTCTGCTATTACTCTTAAAAGTATTACATACAGAGTAACACACAGGAACTTCTAAATGCTTTTGACAGTAAATTTCAGTTCTGAGTTTTAAAATATAATACAGAAATCTTAACACCAAAAATGTCATGTGAGAATGATTCTTATGGTGAGAAATTTTCTTGAATCATTCTTAGAAACTGAGCAAAAAGCAAAAGCATTTTTTTTTGTGCTACTCTATAGAAAGATACTATTGGAAAAGGAAAGTATGTATTTTTAAAGTCAATATCCAAAACTGTCTAACCAAACTCTAATTTTCTTTTCTTTTCTTTTCTCTTACCTTTCAGAATTCCAAAAAGCAATATGCCTACCTTCTAAAGATGATACAAATAGAATTTATAATGACTGTTGGGTAACTGGATGGGGCTTCACAGAGGAAAACGGTACCATGTGATATTTTAAATGCTGTTCCTAAAGCAAGTCTTACATGTTTAAGTACATGGAGTAGATCAGTTTAATTGGCCTCTGTCTAAAATGATATCCAAATTTGCGATCTTTCCAACGTATTCCTTCTCAAAAGTTTATCCAGGGATTCTTGAGAAGATGTATTTTTGTTTAGGTCTGGAACAGTTTATAAGGTAACCTTTTAAGCATATTACTTTAGAACAGAGGTCACTTATTTGACTTAAAGGATTGGTCCCATACAGGGCTAACAAGCCCACTCAAGCCCATCCCTTCCTCAGTACTAGTAGTGGTCCATGTGCCAATGTTATTGTTCTGCCTTGATATTAATGACCAGGTGTATAGGCATATCACCTCTCTTTATGGCAGGCTCTTAATCTTTTTTTTTTCATGCATCCTTCCTGCAATCTGATGAAGCCTATGAACCCCTTCTTCAATGATGCTTTTAAATGCTTAAAAACAACACACAGGATTACAAAGGAAATCAATGAAATTACAATACAGTTATCAAAATGATTTTTAAAAGATGTGATATCTTTTAGATAAAAAAAGATTTTAAAACATATGTAATACACGTGTTTCTTCATTAATGTATTTTGTTCTAATAGCTACCATAATTTTGAAATTGTGATGAGCACAAATGATATTTTCAGTTATCTGCCATAATTGTTATGTGAAAATATCACAACTGAGATATGAAAATCTCATATAGGTGATCTCTACTGATAGGTAATGCTAATATCCCTGTGTACATGGTGGCCTCCATCCGTAGCTGGGAGGAGTGCTGCATACACTTCAGTTGGAGATTGGTGGAAATTAACGTGTATTTTGTTTTCCTCTCCAAGTTTAGGGACCAGGTGAATTCCTTCTGTGGACCCTAGGTTAACAGCTCTTGCTTATGGATACCTGGGGATGTTTCAATTGCCCTTGAGTTTTCCAGAAAACAGACCATTCTGCCTTTTCAAAATTATTCTCCTGATAGACACTACAAGGAACAATATTTGCATGATTCCTTACAAATCTGAGCTGACCAAGCTCTCTCCATCTTTCCTGATTCAGTCCCTTATTTGATGGATTCATATTTTTCCAAATTTTGGACTAGTACCATGAGAGGAAAAGAAATGAAAGTAACCTTAATTAAACAAAGAAAGCTCCCAACATATATCCAAGAGGAACCTGGCCCCTGATGGAAATGGAATTATTTGTAAATAAATTCTTCACCATGGAAAATATATTTATTTGAGGAACAAAATATTTCTCTGTTGCCAGAGGTTTGGGGTTTTTTGTTTTTTAAAAAAATCATGTTTTACAATGATCACTTTAAAAATATAAAAAACTGAAAGGTAAGACCTTCCAGGCTTTTTGTTTGTAGGTGAGAAGAGGTAATTCCTGAGAGACTTCTGAGATTAAGAGGATAGTAGGGAACTGGTCAGCCTAAGATGCTGGGGTTACATTGCATCAGAGGCCGACACAGAGCTCTCTGTGTCTGTCTCTGTCTGTGTTATGTGTGTATAACTCTACCTTCTCAACCTTTAACATTTTTATCCAAAGTTCATCATTCTGCTTTGCCTATAAGACTCTAGTCTTACTTCTATATTTATTGTATTTCCTCCTTCTGAAGCTATATATTGGTTACCTCATAGGTACAATCCAAAATACCCTACAGAAGGCAAATATTCCTTTGGTAACAAATGAAGAATGCCAGAGAAGTTATAGAGATTATGAAATAACCAAACAGATGATCTGTGCTGGCTATAAAGAAGGAGGAAAAGATGCCTGTAAGGTAATGTATTCAATTACTAAAAAAAAAAAAATGCAATAGGTTACTTGAGAAAGTTAGTTTCAAAATATTTTCTATAGTATATTTCCTTATAGTTTATTAAAAAATTCAGAGCCAAATGATCTGATAATTTTGTAAGTAACCTTTAACAAATTGAATATATGTATTCAATTATATATATACCATATATATATATAATTACATAATTACCATATATATATAATTATATGACAATATATAATTTTTGTATTTATATATTATATAATGTCACAGTCTTGCAGGGACATACTATATTCAAGGGAAAACAATTATGCATACAATAATGGTACAAAAATATAATAGCATTCGATTTTTTTGGCATTGGGATAGTGATGTCAAAATGCTTTTGTTAGAATTAACAGAAGATACAACCATACACTATGGAATTAAATAATTTTCACCATATCTAACAGCTAATGAGGCAAATGAGATACCTGAAGAACTATAAGAAATTGTATTGCATGACGTGTGCAGCATGCTGACTACAGAACTGTAAAGGCACAACTGTCGTAACTTTCTGTCATTTTATTTATCCACCCACTGTGACACAGGGAGATTCAGGCGGTCCCTTCGTGTGTAAACACAACAAAATGTGGCATTTGGTGGGCATCACCAGTTGGGGGGAAGGCTGTGCCCGCAGGGAACAACCAGGCGTCTACACCAAAGTTGCTGAGTACGTGGACTGGATTTTAGAGAAAATACGGGATGGTGATGACTGACGGAGTCGCCAGTGTGAGGAGGCTTTAGAGGGGTGGGGAAGAGCCAGTTTGTAGTATTAACTTTTGTAACCTGGTTCAATTCAAACACTGAGCCTGGGGGTCCTCATCTGCAAAGACTTGGAGAGCAGTGCTACCTCGTGTCCTTGTCGTGAGGTTAAAGACACTGCATGCAAAGCTGCTGGGGGCAGGGACTTGCAGAGGCAGGCTTCCAGCACTCAGTAACCACACTCATAATGGGAGACAGCCAATGAACATCTCCACGATTGTTTATTGTGAAATAAAATGGCAAAAGAGTATGATTAAAAAGTGTTTTCTTCTGATTGTGAAATAGAATGGGTGAGGAGGGACTCCGAACTAGCACAGTGCCTGGGAGCATTCTAGTCTTCCAGCTTCCTCGGGAACTCAATACATATTATCTCCGAGGTAATCATTTCTTGCCTGTGCCTCCCCTGCAGGGTCATTAAATCCTCCTACAGCCTTTGTCATTTGGGGTGAAGAGCCATGTAGGCTTGGGTTTTGTTCTGCCAAGTGGAAGGGTAACCTGTGTAACACTCAGTTTTCCAAGAAGGAGATGGGTTCCCTGAGCCTGGGAGGACAGCAGGGTGCCCTTTCATTCTGGCCTCCTACCTCGGTTCCCTGGTGTTGCCCAAGGCTCCTGCGGGGTGGCAGCTGTCTGGTTGCAGCCTCTGCGACGGGCTCATCTCACAGCCTTCAAAGAGGGCCAGGAATCTGCCCTGCTGGGGGTCCAGTGGATACTGGGTTCTGCAACAGTAATTCAAGAAGCATTATTAGGTGTAAAGTATTTCATCGAATTCAGTCTTGTGAATTCATGGCAGTAGGAAGTAGCCCTGGAATAAATTAGGTTACTTGAGAAAGTTAGTTTCAAAATATTTTCTATAGTATATTTCCTTATAGTTTATTAAAAAATTCAGAGCCAAATGATCTGATAATTTTGTAAGTAACCTTTAACAAATTGAATATATGTATTCAATTATATATATACCATATATATATATAATTACATAATTACCATATATATATAATTATATGACAATATATAATTTTTGTATTTATATATTATATAATGTCACAGTCTTGCAGGGACATACTATATTCAAGGGAAAACAATTATGCATACAATAATGGTACAAAAATATAATAGCATTCGATTTTTTTGGCATTGGGATAGTGATGTCAAAATGCTTTTGTTAGAATTAACAGAAGATACAACCATACACTATGGAATTAAATAATTTTCACCATATCTAACAGCTAATGAGGCAAATGAGATACCTGAAGAACTATAAGAAATTGTATTGCATGACGTGTGCAGCATGCTGACTACAGAACTGTAAAGGCACAACTGTCGTAACTTTCTGTCATTTTATTTATCCACCCACTGTGACACAGGGAGATTCAGGCGGTCCCTTCGTGTGTAAACACAACAAAATGTGGCATTTGGTGGGCATCACCAGTTGGGGGGAAGGCTGTGCCCGCAGGGAACAACCAGGCGTCTACACCAAAGTTGCTGAGTACGTGGACTGGATTTTAGAGAAAATACGGGATGGTGATGACTGACGGAGTCGCCAGTGTGAGGAGGCTTTAGAGGGGTGGGGAAGAGCCAGTTTGTAGTATTAACTTTTGTAACCTGGTTCAATTCAAACACTGAGCCTGGGGGTCCTCATCTGCAAAGACTTGGAGAGCAGTGCTACCTCGTGTCCTTGTCGTGAGGTTAAAGACACTGCATGCAAAGCTGCTGGGGGCAGGGACTTGCAGAGGCAGGCTTCCAGCACTCAGTAACCACACTCATAATGGGAGACAGCCAATGAACATCTCCACGATTGTTTATTGTGAAATAAAATGGCAAAAGAGTATGATTAAAAAGTGTTTTCTTCTGATTGTGAAATAGAATGGGTGAGGAGGGACTCCGAACTAGCACAGTGCCTGGGAGCATTCTAGTCTTCCAGCTTCCTCGGGAACTCAATACATATTATCTCCGAGGTAATCATTTCTTGCCTGTGCCTCCCCTGCAGGGTCATTAAATCCTCCTACAGCCTTTGTCATTTGGGGTGAAGAGCCATGTAGGCTTGGGTTTTGTTCTGCCAAGTGGAAGGGTAACCTGTGTAACACTCAGTTTTCCAAGAAGGAGATGGGTTCCCTGAGCCTGGGAGGACAGCAGGGTGCCCTTTCATTCTGGCCTCCTACCTCGGTTCCCTGGTGTTGCCCAAGGCTCCTGCGGGGTGGCAGCTGTCTGGTTGCAGCCTCTGCGACGGGCTCATCTCACAGCCTTCAAAGAGGGCCAGGAATCTGCCCTGCTGGGGGTCCAGTGGATACTGGGTTCTGCAACAGTAATTCAAGAAGCATTATTAGGTGTAAAGTATTTCATCGAATTCAGTCTTGTGAATTCATGGCAGTAGGAAGTAGCCCTGGAATAAATGATATACATGCATATGCAACAAAAATTCCAAACATGCCAGTGATTACCACAACCCACGCCATCCATTTCAGTTAAGCTGACTTAACACTCCCAGGAACTGGCCACTTACAAAATATTGTAGCAGGTAAGTAGAAAAATAGAAAAGGAAGGCTTTGGGAAAAGATCCAGTTTTTCTCTCCATACTCAAAGACACACTGAGCGGTGGAAAGGGATAAAGACGGAGGGGCCTGACGGAAAGCCGTGAGGCTGGGGTTATCCACAAGCCACACAAGAGGAAACTGCGGGGTCAAGACTTCACTCCAGAAGAAAATTTCCAGATTTTGTAAAATCTGGCTGGATTCCATGAAGTAATTAAAAATAAACACAACCTCAACTTTTACCTTGCCTTGAAATAAAGAATATTAGTCTTTTTCTGTTTGGTGTTGTTTTATATTTAAAAGGAAAAAAATGGTTTGCGATGAAAATCATTTATCTCCAGCTTTTAGTATTAATTCTAAAAGGTGTTTGAACAAGACTTGGGAGAGCCTGCAGGGTAACCACTGGTCAAGGAATGACTTTGTTTGGGCAGACTGGGAGGAGAGTTTTGAAACGTGGAACTCCCAGGGGGTATAAATGATCATTTTAAAGTTGCCAGTCAGAGCCAGTGGTATTGGAATGGTTTTTCTATTACTCACCATGTCTCTGTGCACAGGGGTGAACAGAGAAGCCCTTCACACATAACTCAGGCCTCAAGGGACTGAGAAGTGTCTAAGAGGCTCTGAAAGCAAGAGGTTGGAATGACTACACGGTCCTGGGAAGAGGGAGGGCAGGAGGCACGGGTGTCCAGCAGTGCCATCCGAGACAGGGAGGTGGCAGCTGTGAGAGGTGTATGTGGGCACTACACAGCACGTGTTCACACTGGCTACAAGGTTAGCCAAGGGCTCCAACCTCGGTCTCATTCCTCACCAAGGTGTGGGAAACCTCTAGTTCAAACTTAAAACTTATACTTTAATTACTGGTTATCTCTCTTTCCTCACTAAACCATGAACACCGAAGGAGGCTCTTTTTCATTCACACTGCACATAAAAGGGCATTTGATAAACGCCTAGCAAATAAATACATCTTTATTCTAAAGATGAGGCAATGGAGCCCAAAGAGGTGGAAAGCTTAGCTCCGGGTCACTGGCAGGGACAGGGCCCGGATGAAGCTGGGCAGTCAGGACCCAGACGCTGTCTTCCTTGCCCATATCATGTTGCCGCAGACTATGAGAAGGATAAAGGATGGCGGGAGCATTTACCGCCCTCATTTGTTACTTTCAGTATCATCTAAAGAGACAACTGTACTCTCCATCCTCACCCAGGGGACATCTGGCCACGTCTGGAGACATTTTTGGTTGCCAGACCCGGGCTCGGGGTGCTGCCAGCACCTAGTGGATAAAGGCCAGGGATGATGCTGAATATCTGACAGTATGGAGGAAAGACCCTGATCTAAGGCCCACGTTAAAACCTTAAATGAAAAGGGATATTTCAGGGACAGACAGGGAGGAGCTGCAGGACTTGGGAGGCTGTGCCCCTTTCAAAGCAAGTCTTGATGAGAGAGCAAAGGCGCTTCAGGAGAAAATTTTGGGTGTTTGAACAGGACTTTGGAGAGCTTGCAGGGTAACCACAGGCGAGGGAAAGACTTTGGGCAGACTGGGAGGAGAGTTTTGAAACATGGAACTGCCATGGGGTATAAATGATCATTTTAAAGCTACTACTTAAAGCCAGTGGTACTGGAATGGTTTCTAGGTAGTGGAATAGTATACAAGGCAGGATGATGTGCGCAGTAGGACTGTGGCTGTGATGGACAAGGGCTCTCCCTCAGCTGTGTGCCTGTGTGGTCTTCCCGACAGAGGACTTTAGGTCACCCAGGCCTCTGACTTCTGACCTGCACTTGGGTCTCTGCAGACTAAGTTCTGGATTCTTCCTGAGATTTTGTCTAGTAACTTCCCATTTTCATTAGGCTTCAGAAACAGTTTATTTCACTGGGAGAAAACAAAACTTTACCTTTAAGATAAAAGTAGTTGGCATCAGAATTCTAAACTGCAGTAGCATTAGTTGGAAATGTTTTTAGCATCCTTATGTCAGTTTGAAAGGAAGGTCAATTAATCTCAAAGAGTAGCTATGCAATTAAGACTCATTCCACTTTGATTTGAGTAGACAAAAATATTTTGGAATCCTGATCTTATTTCAAAGGCCTTAGAGATTTCACTGACAAGCTAAACCACACTTAGGAAAATATTATTTGGTTTCCCAATGAGGTATTTCTCTCAGTAGAGCTTTTCTGTTTCTCTCAATACGGTTGGAAGGTTATCATTATAGTCTTTTTACTGGAGCTTTAGGATAGAGATGGGGTTTCATGGAGTAGACAATACAGGGATATAAGGATCTTATATAATTTCACTTATCAGCTTTCCATGAAAATCTGTCTTGGCACAAATTTGCCATTCTGTTTGAGCTTTATAAAAAGCAATGCCTCATAAATGTGCACTTTTTGTGTGGCTGGAATGTACTTAATTTTAAATGGGAAACTCAAGAAAGCAATTAAGAACTCTTTATGCCAAGATGGGTCATAAAACCTTGGCAACCAAGCAAATAAAAATATCTGAATAATTGCCACACAGATAGAATGTCACAATAGTGTCTTAGCACTTTGCATAAAAGCTCCTGCTAAGCCCAAATCCCCCTTAACTTTTTGCCTTATGGAACAAAATGATGACTTTTCTCTTCTTTTCAAAAAAGTCTCCAATTAGTTTAAGGGGGGCTAAGCTTCAAATTTACCTTTATTTTACTCACTACTCATTAGTATTCTATTGTCTCCTTCAGTAAAGTCTCTCTTTCTTCATATTTCCCTCTTTGTAAGAGTTTTGCAAGGGCTGCCCGGGTCATCTTTCTACATAGGCATTTGGCCACCAGGGCTTGGGTCGTCCACATTTCCAGAATCCATTGGGATGATGGCGACATTATTACAGTAGACATAAAATGAGATTGTCCCTGTCTGTCTCCAAATACTGAAATGTCCCAAGTAAACTGGCAACATTTTCTAGGTTCAAGAGGTCACGCATAACAGCACAGTGACCCAGAACAAAGTACAATACTTCCTCT